GGGAAATGAAGTGGATTGTGAAATCTAGAACAGTATCTATAAAGCTGTTTTTATGTAGCCACTTCATGTCAAAAACTACAGATGCTCCTGATATTGTGCAGCAAGAGCGTGTGTTGTATTTATTCTGTTTGGAAATTTCTGCTCTTTGCTTTGGTGAAGAGTTTGTCTGTCCTGCGTGAATAAAACTATTTGAAAGCAGTTAACAATGACTTAATTCTGCTGCTCTAGAAATTAGAGCTAAAACTCCCATTCGCTTTTCTGGGAATAAAGTATCATGCCAGTGTTCTCTGTTCTCTTCAATCTCTACTAGCATCTGCAGAAAGAATAATAATTGGTTTCTTTGCTTTACCAAAATGGTGTATTTAAATTCAGCAGATCATCCAGAGACAAGAAGATTTAACATGTCTTACTTGCTGGTAGTGGGTGCCTACACTTTAATCAGGGTTTTCTAGCTGTGAGGTATTGTAGTAGTAAGATTCCTTTCCACATTTGTAGCTCGTTATCACTAGGTGAAAAACCTCTCTGCATTCATAGCCTGTCTCAGCCTCCATTTATCAACTTCTATCAGAGTCCAGTAAAAGAAGTAATTATGAAGATGTTGGGGAGGTGTCTGGAGTAAGTCACACTTGTCAGAATGAAGGAGACTTGGCTACGCCTCAGGCTACGTGCCTGATGTTTGTGAGTGAAAGTCATTGTCCGACTTGTCTGTGACTGACTTGATCTTTTCTATTAACAGCCAGTGCAGAGAGATGCTGAGATAATCTCACCCTGAGGCAGATGTTGATAATTGGCAGGCATACCTGCTTCTAACCATGGGCAGTGACAGGAACTCCACTCAACTGGAGATGCTACCGTCTGAACTTCGCTAAGATGGATCCCATACAATATATCCACACTGTTGCCGGATTTCTGTGGCAGAGAGAGAATCTCCATGATGAATATGACAGATCAGAAAAGGTTGTCATCTGAAAAGGACTGACTTAGAAAATCCCAGAGGCCTGAAACCCACAGCAACATGCTGGACCTGGCCCAGCTCTGAGCAGGAGGTCAAACCAGACAACCGCCGGAGTCCTGTCCAGCTACAGTTCGTGAGTGGTTCTGGGTTTCAAGCAGGTACCCTCTCTCAAGGGTGAGAATGGAGGGGAAAGCTCTCCCTTGTAACGCATGCAGGATCTCTGTGTGTTATAGGTGATCCTTAGCAACCAAACAGATACGTAACATTTATAACTCAATGACAGATCTGTGCTGCACAGTAAGCTGCCCAGGTGAACTCAAAACTTGTCACTGATTTTTGCACCCTCTTAATCTTCCTGTTTATTCTGTGCTTCATTAAAGTCAATCTCTGCTGGACAGACTGTCACTCAGGCTAGGCCTGTCCTGCTGTCTGCACTCTCTGGGGAGCACCCTTCATCCTGATAAATGGTCTATTAGGAGAGCACGTGTCAGAAAGAAACCCTCCGTGAAGCTAAATAGATTAGTCTCTTCCCTCTGAACAGTCTCAGTGGAATGGGGTAGGCATGATCATTAAAGCGGATTTAGAATGAGAAGACACTTTTTCCTTAGGACAGGAAATTGCTCTGAGTTTAGAATGGTACAGATTGGTTCTAGTAAATGTAAAAAGGGAGAACTTCTCAGCATTAGCACTTGCCACTGGAACAGACACAGTGTTGATGGTCTTGAAGCTGCTGAACTTTCTTTTGGTGCCCTCCAGAGAATTACGTGGAGATGGCCTTTCTCTGTGGAGGTTTTGCAATGCCTTTCTGTAACTACTGCAATTGCTAGCATGCAAAAGCGGTACTAAAAAGCATTTTATATTCTTGCAGTGCAGTTTAGCAGCTGCTTAGTCAGACCAGCATAATGACCAGCAAATCCCCAGCAAAGGAAGGGAATTTCTTGTTCTTACAGCTGTCCTGTCCCTTTAGCTGTGGCTTTGTAAGTCATTGCTGTGCTGTCCTTGACGCTCTAAACATATCATGGTAATGGCAAGGCCAAAAAAATCCCTTAAAAATGGAAAACCTGCTCTTGAAACCATCTGTTTAGAAGTGTGACTTAGTACGAGGTATTACACACCCAAATGCCACACAGCAAGTTCATCATCTGGTGGTGCCCTGGCACAGGTTACCTCAGACATGACCTGGGGAGGCAGAAAGGAGCTTGGGTTGCTCCTGTTGGCTTCTTTGTGGAGTTCTGGAAGCTCTAGGGAGAGGAGGAGGAGCTCACTTGTTTCTGAGGTTAGTGGACACTTAATAGAGGTTTGCTCTGTTCTCCTGCAGACCCTCAGAAGCAGCTTTGAACTCCTAAGGTTGCTGCTGCTCTCTTAAAAATAAATAGATAAAAAAATATTTTCTTCCTTCAGTGTATATTCATCTTCCCTTTCTCTGCATTAGTGAGTGGGTATGAAGGGAAAACTGATTCATAGCTTTTCCCCACAAATATTTGTGTCCTGAGCAGCCATTTCCATTAGCAGCAAAACTCTCAGCTCATTCTCTGCTCTGGGGGTGTCTGAGGTGTTGCAGGGGTGCCTGTGGGAAAGGGAGACCCTATGCAAAGAGTAGGCAGACAAGATCTTGAGGCTTCTTTTTTGTTGCTTGCAGGAACTAGCATGCAAAAGCTCAGATTTTCACCCTTTTTGGAGCCAGTCCAACAGAAACATCTCGGTTCTGTTGGCACCAAAGAGGGTGGGAGGTCCTCATTGGTGACATTTGTACCAAAATGGGGTGGGAATGCTGCCAGAAGACTCTTGTGTGAAGAGTGGCTATGGCCCAGGGAGAGGACAGAAAAAGATTATACTGAGATAAGCTAATTTTAAACAAATTAAAGGAGATAAATCCACATTTTCTGTTAGAGCATCTTCCAGAAAAAGAAATCAAATAAAATAACATAAAAGTAATAAACAGCACACTCAACATTAGTTTTAATGCAGGACTAAGCAAATATTGTAAACTTTTTCATAATAGTAATAAAAATCTCCAAGTATCATAACAGTATGCGTGTTGCAAACTCAGGTAAACTCTTATGCAGTTATTGTTCCTAAACCGCATCTTGGTTTTTGCAGCAGCAATATATTCTCTGTCTGCCTGGGAAGATTTGGTCGACAATGACTGCAACGCTGGGACAAAAGTTGAAAGAGGTAACGTGAGGGAAAGGGAGTTCTGGAAGACTCTTTTCAACTCTTTCTTTTGTTGTTATTTATTTAAATGCAAATTTTTCAGGAAAAAAAAATAAATATTCAGTAGCCTCGGTAGATTCATGAATGCCAGGCTGAAGTTACAGAAATGGTGAGTCATACAGAAACCTGTCCGGGGAAACAAGGAGCTTCTGATACTTTGAAGTTAAAGGAAGAGCAAACAGCAAACTCTTAAAATAAGCCAAGGCCTACAGTGTATTTTAGTGCCTTTTAACAGTGTACTTCAAAAGTAATCTTTTAAAAATAAACTGTGTGTGAAAATAATTGCTTTGTGCTTCTTCAGGCAGGGCTAAGCAGCACGGAGCTCAGGCAGCTGCAATCAGCGCAGCCTTCTGCTTTCAGAGCTGGGAATGACAAGTGGCTGTAAAGGCGCCGTGTGTTATTGCTGGAAAAGCAGGTTGTGAGGAGGTCTGGGGCCAGATCCTCATGCACAATTGTGGTCGTGAGCCTGGGATCTAGAAACGTGGTGCTGCTGTGAGCGCACTGTTTCAGGCTCTGGTTTGTTCCCGTGGAAGGAGCCCTCCCTGGGCTGTGATCATCTGCCAGGGCTGGACATGGTCTGATGCAAACAGGTGCAAAAGCTCATTTTCCCTGTCTGCCCCTTGGTAAATCAGTGTTTGTACAGTGTGGTTTTTGCTCCCTGGGCAAAAGACAGCAAAAATGTGGCTGCACCACATGACTCCTGTGAAAATGGTACTAAACCTTCTGCAGCGCTGGGGGGGACCAGGGATAACCCCCCTTCCCATGTCAGTCCTGAAGAGGGTGTGAGAGTCAGCTCCTCCACCTGAACAACATTATGGCATGCTATAAATATGTTAATTCTTTAATTTATTAAGGTTAAAACTTACTTGACCTATTTTAAAAATATTGCTGTTTCCAGGGTATCAACAATAAAAATAATACCTGAAAGAGACCTACAGAAAAGCTTGGATGCCTGTCATGAATGTCATGTTATTTCATGGCTTTATGTTTAAGCACCTTAATTACCACTTCTACTTACACTTAAAAGATTACCAACTAGAATGGGTTCAAAACTTGTTTAAATGAAACCTATATATCATAAAAAGAATTCACAGTAAACATCTTTGGGATATAGGTAGAGATGACAAAAATGCGTGGTTTGGTATTTATTGTGTATTGGTACTATTATTCCTGTCTTTTTTTTAATGCTTCTACTATACCTCATTATGAGTTCATTACAAGGGCTCTGCCTTTACAGTATGACATGGGTAAGTTTGTTTAGCATTATTATTATTATATCATTTGCTTGTAAATGTTGCCTATTTTATTGATGAATTATAAATTTTTAGAAATATTGTTTAGAAAATAAATGTCAACAAACATCTAGGATTTTTTTCTGGTTTTATTCAGATCAGTTTAAATTAAACTGTTCAAATCTGAGATAAAATATAGCTTAGTCGAGTCTATATATAACCTTAACAGTCATTTAGCACTGACTAGGACTGACCAGAAAATTAATGTTTAGGGAGGGCTTCATATATTTTGGGATGAAAAATATCTCAGTTTTTTTTTCACTGATTCTTGAGGAAAAAGAGAGAAATTCTGATGCAGTTGAGGGCATGGAAGATGGATCTTCTACATCTAAGAATCAGGTTTTTATATACATATCAATACATATATAATATATATATATGATATTTAGGGTTATGTATTATTTTAGATATATCTCACTTAATAGCCTCAGCTTTCACATCCCTCTTTGAAAGCATATTTGGAATGTTGTTGTTGGCTTCTTTTCTTGCTTTCAGCTGGGGACAAGGTGCTACAAGGACTCAAGCTTGTGTCCTCAAGCTCAAGGTGTCCAGAGAAGGACTTATGCAGGGGGACTCCCTTCTACACCTTAGATCTGGACCAGCTGGACGCCGTCCTCATCCCCAGCTGTGTGCAGAGTAACAGGATGCTTTCCCATGATTTGCTAATCCAGCTTGGGAGCCAGGCAAGGTGGGTATTTGCTGACAAGCTGCCTGGCAGGAAAAGAGAATCAGTTTTTCAAATATTGAAATTCATAAGAAGAAAGGGCTTCCCTCTTTTCCTTCCTCCCCCCCAACTAGATAGAAAATAAAAATGTCTGGTCCTTCAGGAAACTGGTGCATTAGATAACAAGTAGGTAAGAACAAATTGTTCCTTTCAAGTCAGTTTTTAAAAGAGGAAAATTCTTAGAAAGTTAATCTTGCATTCTAGATAACAGTAGTTTTGTTTTATGCAGCTGGCAGTGAAGAGTCTAGTGTCAAAATGCAGTGGTACTTGTAAGTTGTAATCAATAAACATGAATTATTTAGGAGACGCAGGATAAAAATGGGCAAGTATTAAAACAGAATCAATCCCTTGTATAAGCACTAAGGAACGTGTATGAATTTCTAGCAAATTGATAGTGACATCCATTTGGAATTGCAGTTTACGTGCATAAAAACAAAGTGTAAGTGAATATTTCATTATCTAAATGTAAATAAATTATACATGAATTTTAAGTAAACTGCATGAACTAACTGTTAAGGATCAAGTGTCTTCAGTTAGAACATATACAGTGTATAAAAGCAGACATGTCTGGCCAGATGTTGGGAGAATAAGAAGTGACTGCACTTCAAATAAATTGCAAGCACCTAGGAATCAGGTGAGGTCACTCGGGGAGCAGAGGGATTCAGGTGACCACCGCATTTTAAAACAGCCTGGAAGGAAGAGATGAGCCAGTTTAGGAGTGACTGCTTTCCCTGTGCAACTGGTAGAGAGAAGGTTTTAACACTATTCCCCAAGGTGGAGAAAAAAATAATCTGTAATAGAAATGGCAGCACACAAAAGACAAACCGATTCAGGCAATTTACTCTGCTGGACATCAAATGCTTTTTTGAGGCTGTAAGTGATCATTCAAAAAATTATCTCGGCTCAAGCACCTGTGGCCAAACAAAACCAAGCAGAGAGGAGTCTCTGTGTTGGAGGGGCAGGGAGAAAGTCTCATTTAACACAGACACTGCGTTGTTCACACTTTTTGCTTATTTTATCTGTAGAGGTCGGGTCCCAACAGAGCTCTTGGATCCTGGAGAAGCCTGATGAGAGATGTCATGGCAAACCCGCTGACTGAGAAGTCACCCCACAGCGAGGAAGAGGAGTAATGGTCCTCACATGTAAATGAAGTGAGGCAAGGCCTGAAAAATGCTTCACAACAAGAGAAAAATTGAGGCCAGGAACTAGGAGTGCCCAAAAGAGCACTTGGGGGAGCAAGCGCCTGTGGAATGGTAAGAAAATGCCAAACAGGTAACAGAGATAAGAAAGAAGGTAGAAATAATCCCTCTGAAAATACTAAAATGAACTTCTTAACCTACAGTTGTGTTTCTGTAGTACGTGTCTGGATAGATACGGGGACAGGAAATGGTTATTTATAAGTTAAAGCAAAAAGTAATATTAGGGAGGTTAATTTTTTTTAAAGCAGTAAGTGACTTGCATAAGGCAGGGAGTGAGATCATGGCCCTGTTTCAGCCAGTGGCAAAATCCCTTTGACTTCAAGTCACAATCAAGACTTTTTACTCCAGGTTCCTGGTCGTTCCTCACCATGTCACATCAGCACTACCTCTGCGTTAGAAGCCAACGCTGGCCCTGCAGTTGTGTGTGAAGTTACACACACACGTACACAAGATGCTGTTATGTTAAATGGACATGGCTGGCTCCCGTTGTGTTGTTGGGCAAACCGAGGCACGGGGAGCTGGAGACAGGACTAAGGCTCCTGACTTACAGCCCAGCACTTTGTGGCTGGGAGCGTGGTGCTTCCCTCTGCTCTGGGTGTTCCCCAAGAGCCCAAACTGCCCTTCAGGAAAACGGGCCATCGCCTGTTCCTGGAGAGCTTGCACCAGTCAGAGCATGAGACCAGTACTGCCTTATGGTCCACAATGAGGGGAGAGGATGATAAGAATGGCAGTCATGCATCGGGGGGGGCAGGAGCCCTGACAGCACGGTGATCACCTTGGGCAGGCAGTGATGTACGCATTCAGATGCAGTACAGGTATAAAAACACTAATCCATGTGATGCTCCCTCCTCCTCTCTGACAAGCATTGTTGCAGACACGCAAAAAAGCAGTAAGATATAATGGTGTTCTGAGTGCTGTACAGCAAATTACAGAGAAAGCCAGAATTCAGGCACACCTCATCTTTAGTCTGTGTCCAACCCTACTAAGTGCTCAAAGTCTCTCTGCTGTTGTCACATACAAAAGGTAATTACAGATTTCAAAAAGTTCCCCTGGTAGTTGCTTGGAGAGCTATTAAAGAATCCATATGAGAGGGATGAACAGAACAAGACTGTAAGTTTCTTGTTGTTTAATAGAAATGGGGGATTGGTAAACTCCCCCATGAAGTGCAGGATTGGTGCCCTGCATCGCAGAAGAAGGAACTTCCATGGTTTTCAGGGTCTGCAAGACTAGCCCCCAGTTTGGAAAGGAAAAGCCTTACCTGACAGGCTTTTGAGGAATGTTCCTCTTTGAAGAAATAATTCAAACCACCAGTTCATTCTAGAGCATTATTAGAGACCTTCATCCCTGTGCTGCAGTTATTGGTTTCCTTGTGCATGGAGTGAATTAGTGCCGTGTTTCAGCTGGATTTCATGATTGTGTTATCCAGTCAGTAGTAAAATCCATTCATGTCAACTCTTTGAAATACCAACCTGTTGTGGATGCAATGTCATGTTTCGTGGGAGCTGGTTACATTATGAGAGAAAGAAAATGTTTGCATAGTAGGCTATTTAGCTCTTCTTTGAAACTGAACTTTTGGACAAGCAGGAGGAGGTAAAAAGCGGAAAAAAAAAATCCTGAAAAATCTCTCAGTGGGTGAAAGTTTCAGAAAATGACTGATTACTTAACCATATTATTTGCCTCAAAGGCAAAAACATCCTGTGCCTCTCTTCCACTCTTACCCTGCTGGAGTTGATCAATTTAACAAAGTTGTTTAAGCAAAGAATCAAGCCCACTCGTATGAGGCTCACCACTGGGCTTTGGTGTTGCAGAAGCACATGTCTGCTTCCCCTGCCCGCCTGGCTCTAACCCTCACCTGCCACCACCTGGCACTTGTGTGTACGTGGTTTGCTGATGAGACAAAATATGTGCTTATTGTGTTCTTCTAGCTGCACTAAAGTTTAAATTAATGAACTTGAAGTTCCTTCTCCTTTTATTTCCTTAGCTTCCTCTCCTGAGACACTTTAAAAATGTCTTGCACTATAATTGTGAGTAAAAGAGCACATGGATACCGCTTTCAAACCTATGTATGATCTAAAAGGCAAGCCCACGTATAATGTTTTCCAAATGAACTCGGTTAAAATTTCAAAAGTATATATGGATGGAGAGTGGGGATTTCCAGCATATCCAACAGCAGAAGAAAAGTAGAAACTGCTTATCTTAATGTATCCTGTACAATGCTGTTGATCGCCAGCTTCAGGTGATGTACCCTTATTAAAGTACCAAAAACCTTTCCAGACTCATTGCAGCAAAAGCAAAGTTCTTTGACAGCACTCTTCATCTATTGGCACGGCAAAATGATCACCGATTCTCACATGAGTAACAGAAAGGTTAAGTTAAAGATCTTCAAAAGGAGAACTTTTTTAGCCACAAGCAACAAAAGGAGGGGAAAAAGAGGACTGCAGAAAGTTCTATACAAGGAAGCCATTTAATGCAGATTTGCCATAAGGCAAGATAATAACGCTTGAACGTTATGAACTGCAGAAACTCCATGAACACATTATATTTTAAACACTTAATCTGTTTTACAAACTATGTACATTCTTCTGCTAAATAAGATGAATTGGGATTCAAGAAGCAGCACATCCTGACAAATCTCCTCCTAAAGGCATCCATTAATATAAATCAACAGTAGCAATTTTGTTTGATCATTTATTTGCAAGAATCATTAAGGTTTATTAGCATAATTATTCCCTGTGGGACTTCATGTCATATAAATGAAAAATGGCATTATCAATATTTAAAAGATAAGTGCGTAACGTTCAGAGTACTTAAACAGTACTCTGCAGGTGGTGTCCAGCTGTAGCAAATTAGATTAGGTTTGATTTCTAAATTGTAGATATATAATTTTAGTGCAACTGTTTATTTCAAAACTACACTTGCTCATTGTGCACACCCAAACTCTGTATTTACTCATTACAGTACTGTGTGTACATTGTTTTCTGATTTCAAGTAAGCAATTTGAAGATATCAAATGGGAAGCTAATGTTGCTTACTGGTGGAAGTGCTTTTATAATCTTGTCTTTTGTCTTTTTGCAGAGATTTTTGTTCTATACAATGACTTGACTTTTTTTTCGTTGAAATGAGAGGACTTTCTCCCTCATCCTCCTATCTCCTCCCAAGGAGAACAGCGCTTACGGTGTCATTAGATCTCCTTCTCTACAGAGACGGGCCCTTCTTTCCTGCAGTAGCTCTGAGACCTAAATCAGCTGTTGCTGCTGTACCAACTCTGCCATCCTCTCAGTCCTAAGAAGGAGCCTGGCGTACAGGAGCGCGTGGTGAAGCAGCCATGGGGACGGATGCTTGGCAAAGCCATTTGGGTAAGACTGCCCTGGTCCTGCCCCGAGCGGGCAGCTCCCACGCTCCCAGCCTGCAGGGCTGGCACTTCCCAGCTTTCTGAAGGCTGCTGAGGACGTCAGAGTTAAGAAGAGAGTATATGGGAATGTAATTACCACAATTTGAGGGAGGTCAGATGAGTGAACTGCCTGCTTGTCATCTGCTTAGGGGAACCGCTGTGCATCCCTCGCTGCTGCCAGAGCTGAGTGGCAGGTGTGAGCAGGAGCACACGGCGCTTTGGGGAAGAGTTTCCAAAGGTTCCTGCACAGATGAGTTACCATCTGGGCACTGGCTCCGAGTGAAAGCCTTTGATTGAGGGAAGGGGCTAGTGAGAGCCCAGCTGCGGGGCGCCAGGGTAAACACACAGCTTTGGGGGCTGGGTGAGCCCAGCTTTTGGGCGGCAGATCCGGGGTGCACGTAGCAGCGTGGTGTGCACCAGGGAGCCACCCAAGAAAGCCTCTCGAGCCCTCTGCACAGCCGCTGGCACTGCTGTGAGCCCCCCACATCGGTGTGCCCTCTTGACAGACCTGGCACGCAGGGTCCCAGCAAAGGACTTGTGCTGAGAGGCGAGAGATGGGAAACACCTCACAGCCAGAACCCTGTGGGCTTTGTCTGCTCCGTAGCAATGCAAGGCAATTCCCCACCTTACCAGTGCTTTTTTTTTTTTTTTTGAGCACAAAATTGCCTTTTTATCAGCAGTGAAATGTATCATTAACCACTGTGTGCTCTTCTCCTCTCTAAAGGCTGTTGAATAAAACATCAGGGATTTTACTAAAACTGCCCCAGGACTCCTCCAGACACATGCCCACGTGGGGCAGGGAAGCAGAGCCTTGGCCAGCCCCGGGCTGGTGGCGGGGCTCTGTGGAGGCTGACAGGAGGGATGGAGTGCTGCTGGAAGAGATGGACGCAGGCAGCCAAATTATTTTCACGTTGCTCCCAGCCCTTTCTGGGACTGATGTTTGTTTTCTGTTATTGCCCTTCAATTGCCCTTTCCACTGGCTGGCTTAAGGTTATGGTTATGGATTAGTTTGTTAAATATGCTGTTGTTTGCAAATGGCATCTTTCTTCTTAGTTCTCTGCTCTCTGCTAAGCTCCCCTTTGGAGCTGCTCAGTTTTTTAATTATTCACAAATGTTAAGCTGAACTGTTTGGAATTAATTGTGTTCGGTGGTATCTTCCAGGAGTGAAAGGGGTGTGCAAAGGGGTCTTCTAAGTATGCTTCTTGGTGCTCTCTTTTGCACGCAAGTTAGAATATATGCTAACACCCTTGGTGCTTCCTAGGGAGCAGGTAGCCCAGGAAGCGTGTGCCATCTCACCCTTTACTTGGTGTATACATTGCTATGGGTGCTGCTATAGGGAGAAGAAGAGTAAAACTTAGTATTTAACAGTTTTTTCTCAGTACCTCATTTGGCTTTGGAAATTATGAATCTTCCTTCCAGGGGTGTATATTCTGATGGCATTATATATGAAATACTGAAAAAGAAACTGTGACCTGGTCAAGTGCTTAAATGATGGCCAAAATCAGCTGAGGCAATGCTGATTGCTGTGTTGGGGGTAATGACTGGTCTCCCTCCAAGACACACTCCCTTTGCCCCATTCAGTTGGGCACTTTGGCAGATGGGCTCCTTGCAGGCTGGTTACTCAAATGCCTCCTCTAAACTCTGCACAGGAAAGACAAAGATAGGGTAGAGTAGGAAAAAAATTAAGTCTGATATTTAATCATTCTGCTTCCAAATTAAAAGCTACAAATGGAGCTTGCTATCCTAAGGGGCACTTTTTGACAAATAATTAAATCAGAGCTCACATGTAAAAATCTGATTAAATTAGATAGCACTTTTCTGAGAAGCTTTTACAAACGGAACTTTCGTGCTCATAAACATTTAGATTCTCAAGTAAAAATCATCACTGTTAATTTTCTTAAGAAAGAACTCAGTCCTTCTGCTTGAACTTACGATCTCTATTCTTTTCCACAGGGGACAGGACTTTGCTTATGGTAGGTGACTGGATAAAGCTCTTGCTGCACAAACCAGAAGTGTCGTTGGAGCAGTGGTTTTACAACATTCTTTACATAGAAGAATTATATTTGCTCTGCCTACAACATTTGCTTAAAAAAAAATGTTTACAGGTGAAGCAGAAAGACTGGTAATTGCAATTTGTATTCTCCCCAGTGTTTGCTAGTTGGATTAAAAAGAGCATGGTGGACATGGCTCTCTAATTGTTTTTTAATCACTTAATGCTAGCAAATTTGTGCCAAATGCACAAGAGAAATGCCCTGTTCCATAACCCAAACAGATCTACTAGCCAGGCAGCCAGTTGGCAAGAAAGCTCAGACTTCGCTGTGTGCTATAAAAGCTCATTTCCCAGCTCACTGAGCGGATGTTGGATGTTGTACAAAGCCTGGCTGGTGCTGATGGTGTAATTGCTGCCTGTTTTCAGGTTACCTATAAGAAGCAGTTGAACTGCAATACAGATTAAAGTGGGGAAATATTAAGAAACTATAGAATATATAAGACACTTGCAAACTACTAAACAGTGTAAGTAGTGTTGACTGATGGGAGAGATGTAGAAAGCCACTTGGTATTGGTTGGAGTGATAGGAATGGGACAGAAACTGCAGAGAAACAAAAGCACCCAAAGAAAATATGAATAAAACAGTTAGAGAGCCTAAGGCAGTCTTCCCACCTTGACCCTGAACAAATCCTGAAAGGCTGAATGCTGCCTGGAGAGAGACCTGAAAACAAGCGATGAAATAGTGTCCTAATTCCCTACTTTTGTTTTACAGCATCAAATGAGTTTGGGCTGCACGTTTCAAGAAGCACTTATGTTTTCTGGCACCGCTGATGTGGACACAAAGAAATGACAAGGATTGTGTGGAGGTAAGAGATTGTAGGATGAAAAACGATTATGTCAACAAAAAGCCTGGAAGGGACGGTGTGGCCCTTCTGCCTGCACGGAAGCACAATCTAGTGTAGTTGCACTGCACTACAATTTTTATTTTTAAAGATCCTCTCTACAGAGTACCTAAGGACAGACAGTGTTGGTGTTATCCTGCCCTTTTAACTAGAGCAACAATTACTTCATGCCCAACCTTCTGTAACCAACATAGGAGTGTGATGTCACTGTGGAGTAAAACTCATCTGATGTCTTCGGAATTTAGGTATTCAGTTGTTAATAACAGTGTGTCTCATCAGAAGAGCAGGTGAGTGCTTTATCAACTCGAATAAATCAGTAATAAATATTAATAGGAAATGTTAAGAACTCTGAGTTTAGCCAGAAATGCCTGTTAGATGATGCTGTGGTTGTAAATTAATTCTAGTAGATTTAGTCACGTCAGCCTTTAGATGCACAGCTCACAGCTTTTACTCTTGACCGGCAGGACTGAGCAGAGATGGAAGCCCAAAAACAAAGCAAAGAACATGGTGCCCCTAAAAGAATAATTTCTGTTCATGTCCATTGCACAGACATCCTTTCTGGCTTGAGACATTTCACTTATTCTCTTTATTTTTTTGAAAACTCAATACTGCAGCTAAATATTTATTAAAACCACATTTTTATCATCAGGAACAGTTGTACTTTTGTTGAACACATTTGACGCAGTGAGTACTTCTGTTCCTTTTAATATTTTTGTTTACAGTCCATAATGTCATAAGTAAAAGATCGCTTCTGCCTACTGCTGCCATGGGACATATTTTCCCTACTGCTGCAGGATAATCTTATAAAAAAAAAAAAGGGCTAAGATTTTCTTGACAGTGATAGCCCCTTAGCTGCTAAATCTGCTATCCCATCCATCACTAATCTCAAGCAAAGGAAGCATTAGTTTCTCTGTGACTTATCTAGGTCTTTAGTAGATCAATAGCACAGCTCAGATGTTTCAGACTCTTCCCTGTTAATTCACATTTATCTTTTCATCCAAAGAAGGTAAATTACCTCACAGAGAAGCTGTGTTATCCCCAGCAGCGGTTTATAATGTTGCGAAGTCAGCATGACCCACATATCTTATCTCAGCTGGAATGCATTTGTCACTGTCTCCTGTTATGATCTTCTGCTAAAACGCCCTAGAAAAGAGGTAAACCTGCAAAATGGCTTCACCGTTTTCATTAAATGACCTTTTCTGCTGTGTGCTCCTGCGTCACCTGCAATTTAAAGTGCTAGAATAAAGGGAACTTTCTTTTTCCCTTTAATGCTCCATTTTATTATTTTTATCATTAGCAAAATTTCGGTTCCTCAGTAGTCCTTGTGTCTGCTGCCAGGAGCTGAGCAGTAGGTGGTGATATTGAGACTGAGAACGGAATCATTTATTAATATGCTGTGTTAAGCCTGAGAAAGGGTTTAACTCCGTTGGTACAGCGGGCTGCTGGCTACCTGGAGCTTTTCAGGCCCTGGGAGTGTTTAAAGCTGCCAGGGGAAAGGAATGAGGAGCAGGTCACTGGCCAGTAAGCTGTAACCAGGCTGCTGCAAGAAGAAATGCTGTATGAAATGAGAGTTCGATAGCAATGATGCAGATAGTAAAGTAGGTATTTCATTACCTGTTACTCTAAAAACCTTATAATTTATATTATGGAAAGAAAACTTAAATAGAAACACACTTGACTCTCAAGGAGTCTGACCCAGATGGTTGTGAAAAATAGTCCATTTTTATTCTGCTCCTTCAGATGAGCTGAGGAGCTCTGCCTGGACTCTACTCTGTTTTGCCAGAGTTAAAATCTTATGTCTTTAACAGTAAAATTATTTGGTACCACCAAGGAGATCTGCTTTTTGACATGAGGAAGGGTCTGTTTTCTACATGGTGCTTGATTTCTCAAATAAGACAGTACCGGGGGGGGCCCTCCATGATGCAGCGACCGGCTGTGACTGGGAGGAGCAGGAATAGCAGATGCTTCCCTGCAGCTGGAGGTGGACTATCCAGCTGAGATGACAGTGGTGAGGAGCACGGGATGCACTAGAAGGTCACAGGACAGAAACACTTGCCCAGGTGCCAGTGTGCTGCCCGTGTCCCTGCACCCCCAGTAAGTTTGCAGGTGTCCAAGGAGGGAGGTGCAGTCAGTGCCCAGGGGAGGGGAACATCTTTAATTATTCAATTTAGCAGAAGGAGCAGGGCAAGGGTATATTGGGTGCTTCTGTGGCGTTTCTGGAGTATTTTTCCCTCCCTGTTCTCTACGTGGGGTGACTACATGCTGAACGGTTATGTGCCTTTCTTTGGAAATCTGCACACACAGTATGTTCACTCAGCTGTCCCTGTGGCTTAATTTATGTTGGGGAAAACAAACAGGGCATTAAAGGTAAGAGTTTCTGAGCACAAACTGCCATACGGTATTGAGGATAAAGGAATTCTCTGGTTGCATTTTTTTTCTTCTTTGCATTTTAAACACACTGCAGCAAATCTGGAATGTATGGGAAATAAAAGAACAATGAGGCACTGAGGACTGGAAACCTCAAAATATTTTCCCTGTGGGATCTAACTGAACGTTAGTGCCGTGTTCTGTCCTGTCTGTTAGAAATACACTGCTCACAAATACTGTTTACATGCAAATATGAGCCACCTCTTAATTTTAAAAAGAACTTTGTGAACGGACTTGTTGGTCTTTGATATATATGTGTTTTTTCAAGCATTTTTACTTCCATTTTTCTCTCTGAATGTCTTGCTGTCCTGGAGACTGACTCAAGGTAATACACTTCTGTTCTCATTTTAGAGTGCTGCTGGTCCAAATTGAGGATATCGTGTGAGCAAAGATGAAATTTTACAGCTGAAGGTTATTTGCTGTTTCCAGAAGTGAGGTGAGGGGACCTGGTTTTGTCATTTTCCTTGGTAAGAAAGAAAATTCCATTTATTTCCAGTGAGGCACATAGCTGTTTGCTCAGCAGAAGGGGCAGCAAAACTAGCTTTTATACCTTTAGCTCCCCAAAACAGCTCCAGACCTTGAGCCCTGAAAGTCAGTGCTCTGCCAGTGTAGTTAAAAGCATCCTTCTTCCCAACCTTGGAATCACTGGGGGACAGGGGTTTTTGACAACGATGTGTTTCCTTGCCTACTGTTTTTATTTTTAGCAAGAGCTGTAGCAGTTACACCACTTGGGAAGAAGCAGCAGGGAAAGTGTATGATCTTTTTTGCCTCGTCTCTCTCTGCTTTTATCGGTGCAGATAGAGACATGGTTTCCTACACTTTGCTCCCATCCCTCCCTCTCCCCCCACCAGGTACTGTGGGAAAACATTTTTCTGATAAAAAGGGTAAAGAATAACCAAAGCTTCAGAAAGAATTCCACCTAATTTGGGAGATTTTTTTTTTTTTTTAAGAGTGGGAACTCATTTAAAGTAATGAGTGTTCCCATCCCATATATAGGAATATGGGATATATAGACACGGGCGTCTCTAGTACAGGATCAATAGAAACACTAATCTAATTCTGAGGTGTTCTTTTCTTAAGCTTTATTCATTTTGATTAGTTTTATAAAGTAGAGACTAACAAGCTTTAAATACCACATTAAATAACCTTAAGTGTCTGAAGTTTCACGTAGCTATGTAGAAATGGAAATAAAGGTGAGAGAAGTGGTGAGGCTGTGGGTGTGCTGGGTTTGGGGAACTGATGCCACAGCGTCGGGTGCCCTGCCCCGAGGGACCCGGGGCCCTGGCTCCGCGCCGCGGCCATGTCACGGGAGGGAACCCGCCCCTGGGGTCACGGGAAGGAAAGAAATTCTTCATTAAATGCTGCCCGCTGGGTTTTGGGACTGTCAGGTGCAATAACTTGATGCGATAATTCAAGAAATGCTCTTAAATATATATTATTTTATTTTTTTAAGGTGGCTACGTATGTCCCAGCGCCCCGCGCGGCGCCGCCACAGCTCACTGCCTGCACCGGCCCCGCGCCCCTCTCTCTGCAAAATGGCGTCTACCCATTCCTGTGGCGTGGGGGAAGTGCATGACATCACACGGCCCTCCCGGCCAATCAGCGCGCCGGGTTCTCCCCCGGAAGTTAAACGCCGTTTCCCTCCCCTTCCGCCCGGCTGCCCCCCCGGTTGCCATGGCAGCGCGCGGCGCGGCGGCTGCGGGATGGTGAGGAGGGAAACGGGCCGAGGGGGGTGGCGGCGAGCGGGGCCCCAGGGCGGGGATGGGGCCCCGGGGACGGCGGCCCCCGGCGGCAGCGCCTCTCTCGTGTCCCCGCAGGCGTCCGCGGACCTGGTGGAGGCGGCGGACGAGCGCGGCGGGCGGCTGCGGGCCCTCAGGCTGCGGGCCGCGCTGGAGCGGGAGCGGCGGCTGGAGGAGGCCGTGCTGCGGGTAGGGGCGGCGGCGGCGGCTGTGCGGGCAGGGGCCGGGCGGAGGGAGGGGAGGCGGCCCCGCCGGCCTTCGCCTTCTTTCCCAAGGTTTTTTCCTTGTGTGCGCGAGCGGGCGCGGTGCGGGACGGGGTTGTCTCTGCCCAGGAAGAAGAGAGGAGACGGGGCAGGGCGCTGCGGCGGGAGCGGGATGAGGCGCTGGCGGCAGAGCTGGCCAGGCTGGACCGCGAGAGGCTGAGAGACGAGAAGATGCGGCAACAAGTGAGAGAGAACAGGTAACGGCCTTAAAGCACGCAAAGCTACTGACAGCACGTGTACAAATAGAGGCAGCTCTTGCTTTAAAACAGGTTTTGTTTTCTTTTTCTACCCTTTCACTAGAGCAATGTTTTTTATCTAAGGTATTTTTTTTTAAATTGTGTTTAAATACCGATGGAAACTTCAGGTTTTCCTCATAGGCACTTACTTCCTTGTAATAGGATACATTTCTTTTTTTCCCCCCCCCAGTCTGGAACTTCGAGAGTTAGAAAAAAAGCTAAAATCTGCTTATATGAATAAAGAGCGAGCTGCACAGATCGCCGAAAAAGAAGCCATCCAGTATGAGAAAATGGTACTGAGCTCCACAGCGTATCCCAGCACCTGAGTGCTGTAACTCTTTGTGTGGATTGTGATGAAAATTTTTCCTTTGAGGCTGGCCTTTTTATCATAAGTATTGTTAGCTTTAGGCATTACCTGTTAATTGAAAATATGTTTTGTGTTATGAAGAACTAATTAGCCGGTAATAACTAGCCACAAGAAAAAGACTCACTTTGGCATTGCAATCGAAGTGGTGGTGAATCTAGCTGTATGAATGGATATAGTTTTTATTTTACTAGTTTTGTAATATTTCTCCAACTTAAAACCATGATATATTTTGTACATATTGTGGTGAATCCTTTCCTCAGAAGCAGTTGTTGAAAATGTTCTTCTTAAACATACACCTGAATAACTTCAGAAATAATAGTGAACTTTTATTTGTGTGTAGAATAATATTGGTGATCAGACAGGGGCTGCGTCCGATATGGAGCTTCCTTTCAGTGGTGTTAGTTCTCCTCCAGTTTGTTCAGATATTGAGGGTTCTCTTCAAGGGTTCTGCCTACTGAATGAAGCCATTAAGCACCTTAAGGCACTGTGTTTATAGATAGAAAACATTTAGTTCTGTAATGCAGTATATAATTCCTTTTTATATTCTGTATTTTTTCACTACAAGTTGTATAAAAAGAAATCTTGCATTGCTTTTTCCCCCTATAGAAGCGTGAGGCTGAAATAGCCCAAAAGATGAAGGAAGAGTACGAAAGGGCAATAAAAGAAGAAAGTTCTGCAGAGCTGAGGCGAAACGAGGAGAAAAAAATGTATCAGCAAGAACTGGAGAAACAGCTTGAGGAGCAGGAGAGGAAGAAGCAGGATGCTTACCAGGAGTTTCTAAGCGAGAAACTCTTGATCGATGAAATTGTAAGAAAGATCTATGAGGAAGACCAAATGTTAGTTACTTTTAATTTTTATTATTTATTAATTTAAAACAAAGCAACTCATATAATTCTGTATAGGAAATTAATTTATATGCCTTTTTTTCATAGACCAAGGCCCATTTTATTTCCCTTGGTCAGATTTTACTAACAAGAGACTGACTTGTGTGGGTCTTGCTGTTTAAACGTCAGAATGTTCTTGTCATTCCAGCCAGTCTCGTCTCCTTCTTCCCCAAATATGAAATCCAGCTTATTTCGGGGGCATTGGGCCCCCGGTGCTGGAAATGCCTTTCACGTTTCTGCCTCACCTCGTGTCTCTCCCTCTGCATGGGACGTGTTGTCTGCCTCTCGTATGGCCTGGGATAGGAAAGGAGGTTTTGAGGGCTCGGGGGGAGAGTTTAATAGAAATAAAATGCTTAGGAGACCCTGGTGCTATTGGGCTACTGGGCTTCCTTCTCCTTTCTGTTTTGATGGAGCATGTATCAAGTGGACTATCAGTGAGTACCTCTGTGTACTGTCTGTCCTCTTGAAGAAAGGTGTTGGATGTGAGATTCACTTTTGGGGGCAATTCATTAATGTGTATTTTCAATTTAGACACCTATTTTCTAGCTGGATGGGTAAGGAGAGCCGTTTAAATCTTAGTCTATAGAATATATTGTTAATGGTGAGCATATGGTCTGTCTAATGTTACTCTGCAATATGTTAAATAACTACTTAAATGTTTTTTTCCATCTTCTACAGGGAAAGACAACTGAAGTTAGAAAAAATAAGAGCAACTCAGACATATATTGAAGAATTTAAAAAAGAACAAGCCAACTGGAGGAGAAGGAAACAGGAAGAGATGGAAGAAGAAAATAGGAAAATTATGGAATTTGCCAACATTCAGCGACAAAGAGAAGAAGACCGGATGGCTAAAGTTCGAGACACTGAGGAGAAAAAACAAAGAGTTCAAAGCATGGTATCGAAAATGGAAATAATTGTAGAAAAAATGATTGTACATTCTTGTTTTTTGTTTAGAAATCTTTCCTTCTTGTAATAGATTGCCCAAAATCTGGAAAGAGAAAAACAGAAGCGTGAAGAACTGGAACAAATCCGGCAGGAGCTCTATCTGGAAGAGCAAGAGGAGACAGAAAGGAAGAAGGAGATGGTAAGTGGTGGCCAGTAGTTGCAGTAACACCTTTGTGTGGGGGAATATTTACTTCTCCTGCAGATACATACATGGGTATTTTGGTGCTTGTCAGACACCCATTTTTCATCCGTCTTCTGTCTGTTACGTGTAGCTGTGCATAAACCGTTAAGGGAAAATGCAAGTGGAGAGGAGCGTTGTAACTGTCCCTTAATTCCTGCAGAACTTTCAGGTTAGCGGAGCTGGTCTATATGAAACTTTTATAAAATAAAAATAGTAGTGTATATGCAGGAAAACATGTAATTTATGGAGCACTATGGGTAAACTAACCCTAATTTAAACAGACCAGATATGAAATTTAAAGAGAAAAAGAAACCATTTTGAATCACTTATCTAGACAATAAGCAATAAAGTGAATGCAGGGGGCAGCATTTTCCATAGTCTTCCTCTGTCCTTTCCCTTCTCCTGATGTCTTTGTCATGGAGCAGCGCTTCGGAGGCCAGTTATCTCCCGTTTCCACTCCCTTTCCTCTGTCAGTGCTGGCGCTGGCAGGGTTGTTCATGGACGGGGTTAGGATGGGGTTTTTCACATTTCGGATGGTGATGTCTGCTGAGTTCTCTGTGACTCTGGGATGTCTTTGAGAGGCTTCCTTGAGCCCATTCTGGTCTGTGAGCTGTCTCAAAGCAAAAACCTTAATTCTGACATGGGTTTAGGTGTATGAAATGAATTTGAATTGTTTTCAATTCTGTTCTGGTACAAAGTGTCTATTTCCAACACTATTTCCTAAATGTTCTTAGACAAGCAGTTTACGTATTAACTTAGGTTTTGGATAGAAAATTCTGTCCTTTCAGTTTCCTTTGCTGTCCCTAATGTATTTATGCTTTAATTTCAACCAGGAAGACAACTGAAGGTTTTGAATACCCTTATTGCCCTGTTTATATCTTTTATTTCTCTCGTGAAGGAGGATCCCAGTAACTTTCAAGTTCAGGTTTAAGTAGGTTAATTAACTGCTCGCTTTTTGCACGTCCATTTGGTTTTCCCTGTGTTCCCACCCACACTCCAGCTTTTCTTGCTATGGGTGACAAACAAAACATAACAGCAGCTGAGATACATAACACTGTTATTTTTAGAGAGTTGTTCAGGAGCGCTGTCTTGTTGATTCACTTGATGCTAGTCCAAACTTTTGGTTTGGACTTAACTGGTTTGGCAGATATCTCAAGATTCTTAAAATTAATACTAGAGAGCAGTGTCAGATGTGGAGCAGTTGCTCCAGTTCTTTATGCTAGAAGGCGATAGCTACAGTAAATTGATTCCAATTGGCTGCTGATGATCAAAATTTTCTGAAGTATGTTCAGAGACAGAGCATTTTATTGAATTTCCTTTATAGGCAGAAATTGAAAAGAGAATAAGGCAACGCTTAGACTTAAGGCAAACATATGAAGAGCAATTTGCTTTAAAGAAGATACTGCAACAAGCCATGCGAGAAGAGGAAGAAGCCTTCAGACAACAGATGTTGGCCAAGTTGGCAGAGGATGATCGCATTGAGCAGATGAATGCTCAGAAACGAAGAATGAAACAGCTTGAACACAGAAGGGCTGTGGAAAAACTTATTGAAGACCGTCATAAACAGTTTATTGCAGATAAAGTAAGAGCTCTCACTTTTGCCTTCAGTTTGAGCCAAAGTGTTTCAATATGAGGATGCTTCTGCTGTCCTAAGTGACAAGGCTACTGTTACTAGAGGAATTGCAGAGAAATGTGCAGGGGGAAGCAGGCCTTTGTCCTGGTTTGCTGACAAGAAAAAGTGTCTTTTTAGAGCCAACTTGTTTTGTAGCTTGGGAGGTTGGAGTCAGCAATGAGCTGCCTACCTGACGTGCTCTGTAAATCTCTCTTCGCGAGCCGTGGGGTCAGGGACACAACTCTGGTCTGGTTCAGCGTCCCTGAGCGGCAGCACTGATGATGGTGTCTGAGAAGGGGAAGTCCCAGCCTAGATTTTAGATTAAGTTTCCGGAATTATCATCTGAGGAAGCAAAATTATGAACTGAAAACAGACCATGGAATCCTATACTGCAGTTTTTCAACCTGTTTATAAATCCCATGTGTAACGTGAATTGCAATTTCTAGTCATTAGCATGAGAATACGTGCCAGTTCTTCCTTTCCCTGTGAGAACAGGAACAGATTTCCTTCTCTGAGAGCCGAGAAGGAAGTGGAACTTCACTTAACCCCCTTTAAATGGGCTTCTAGTTCGAGACTGAACACCTGCCTGGCAGACTAGTCCCCTGTCTTGCCATTCAGTCTTCTCTTTTGTCTGAGATTTTTTTCTAGCTCCCAAACACGTATTGTTTAAACAGCACGTTGGGGTTTTTTGCATACACTTTTCTGTCCTTTTCAAATAAATTTCCTGTGACCAGAAGTTAATAAGTCTAAGTTCAAAATTTACTCTTTGTACTATGGTGGATATTAGTGGAAACAAATGTTCATACAGCTGAATCTGAAGTTACAAAAAATTCTTTCTTGTAGGAGCGTGAACTTGAAGAAAGACAGTTGGAGGAGAGAAGACAAGAAAACATCCGTGCAATTGTTGAAGAGGAGAGACAGAAACTCCTGAAAGAGCACGCGTCAAAATTATTGGGTTATCTTCCTCGAGTAAGTGAATTGTATTTTAAATGCTTTAAATGTTTCTTCTGTAAATCAGTTTTCTCTTGGATAATTTAAGGTGAATTTGCAGAACTGTCTAAATTCCTGGAGTCAGCAGGTGCCCTTATTGTGTCAGCTCTCCTGTGCTCATCACCTCCTTTTTTCCTTTTGAATTGGGAAGCAATTTACGAAAATACTTTTTTTGTATGAGGGGCTTTGGGCTCTACCACAATATTGATCTATTGATGTAAGTACAGAACTTGCTGAAAGCTTCCACAGCACTTTGTGCATCCAGGTTTGGCGATACAGAACGTCAGTTCTGAAGCGTTCTGACCCGTGTTTCTTTCCCCTTATTGCAGGGCATTATCAAAGACAAAGATGACATTAACATGCTCGGAGAGGAATTTCAGCTGGCTTACCAGAAGAGAACAGGCAATGCATTTTCAGAAGAGAAATGAAGCGTCCCCCACCTCATCTCCTGGTTTGCCACTAGGTGTCATCTGATTCCTAATGACAATTTACATTTGCTGTTAATGGAGAGGGACTCCTTTTTAATATCATAAAACATCTCCATTTTAAGACTGGAGTTCTAAACTGATGAGCAGCTAGTTTTATTTAAGTGTATGTTGTATTTGCCTTTTTATACCTTTCTTTCAATGTATGAACTCACTATTAATGTGCCCTGTTCCAATTCAATTACTCTGAGGGAGGAATCCATTGAAAGAGCTGAGGTTTGACAGAGGTTCACACAAGCAGCACAGGCTTTTATTGCTCCTGTTCCTTAGTGTTCTGCTCATCTACACTCAAACTTTTACCTTGTTCTTGATTATAGTAATGACATAACGAAATCTTTAATGATGTAATGCTTGTAGAGCACCTGTGAATATGGAGTCCTCCCTCCTGATTGTATCCCAAAGCAGGAGCTGACGGCCAGGGAAAGATTTCCTATCTTCACCTTGACTAAAGTAGGGATTTTAAATAATACAGCTGTACCAGACTGCAAAGCCTATCTGGAAGTCAGGGGCAAGTCTCGTGTATGCTGTTGCCAGCCAAGGGTGTCAGATGTAACAGCTAAAACAAGTTATAAAAGAGTATGTGCTTAAAATTAGATGCCAGCCCAGCTAGTGTTGGGGGGAGATCTCTTGCAGAACAGAGAAGGCCAATTTTCCAACCACGTGTGTTAAAAAAGGACATGACATTTTCTTCTCAACCGAATCACTGCTTAATTTATTTCTGTTGCAACAAGGAATTTTCTGAGACTAAACCCTGACTTCTTTGGACTGAATATTACTTTAGATAAGGTACAGTTTTAAATGCTAAAACAGAGCAAACTGGTACCAAAGTTCATTTGTTGGAATATTTCTTACACGGTCTGTGCTTCTCCACTCATTACAGAAGGGTGTATTTCCTATGGTATCACAACACAAGCTTATAAAAGTTAAACACTTTAAACACAAGCAAAATCAACAAAATCAATTCACTGGGCTATGCAGTTATCAACTATTATTAACAAGCATTCATATACAGTGCCAAAATAATGTACCATCTGACTTGTATTTCAAATAGAAGTTGTCTTTCTATGGAATCAACAATTTCCCCACTCAAGAGCCTTCATGAATTCCTCTTCAGTAAAAGAAAGCATCTTAGCAGCTTCAATGTGCATCTTAAAAAAGGAAAGAAAAAAAAAAATTAGGAGCAGAAGGTAAAATAATGTGAATGAGCAATGCAAAATCCTGTATAATTGGGATGGCTGAAAGGGGCTTCCAATCTATCATTCTGGTTTTCGTACTATGGTTTGATGGATGTTCACCTGTTTAAGATGAAACTGCTATTTATATTTTTCTGCAAAAATTTATAGCGTAGAGAGAACGTGAGAAATGTATGCTAAACATTGCAATTGTAGCTCTAGTAAAAGAGGACCAGTAGCTTTTTGTAGTTCCTTATATTCCTTGAAAAATGTCTCAGTTTTAAAGAGGCACGGAAATCACTGAAAATTTGACAGCTCATCACCTCTAAAGAACAGTATAAGGAAACTACTGTATACATTTTTTTCAAGCTGATCAATATGCAGCTATTACAAATCAAATACATCATTAAGATTCAGTGTGCTAACACCTCTTATATGTGTGATCTAATGTTAAATGAGGATTTTAACAAAATAGTATAACACTGTTAAAAATGAACAATTAGCATAAAACAAAGAGTAGCTGCACTACACCTTAACAGGCAATACCTGGAGCTAATCAGAGGTGGTGGTGTTGCCCTGTGTCACATACATCTACAGTCCATTATGGCACGTAGGCACAGACACACACCCCCACCACGTGTACATATGTGTATGCTTATAAATCAGACAGTAGTATGAATTTGTATTTCCACTACACAGGATATAGCACGTTACTTTAAATGGAACACCAAAAGGAACAAACAGAACTTTTTAATATGTTTTAACAGGCTATTTTCTCTTCAAATAATAGAGGTTTTTGGGAGAGTGTCCTCAGGGTCATGGAGATTTGATGAGAAAACAAGTACTAAATGGTCAGTGTATTTGCAAAGAACTACCCAGCAGCCAGAGAGCCCCGAGACCTCCCCGGGCTCCAGCAGAGGTCACAGCAGAGGTCACAGCAGAGGTGGCAGCGGTGCCACACGTCCCCATCCCCACACCGGGGTATCATCTCTTTGCCCGTCGTCATTCAGAGTGGAAAAGAACTAAGCAGTTGTTACTGCAAATTCTAACAAAATGGCTATGGTTTGAAGAACAGGAAACAATTCATGTCTATAAGAAATCTGTTGCGGGTTTTGTGTATATAGATATATTGCTAGTTCAAAAGGACAACAAAGCAACACCCTCCAGCTCTGCAAAGCTCAGACTCATTTCCCCTAATCCTTTTAAAAAACTAAGATTTTTCTGTTAAATTCTCTCTCTCAAGGCAAGCAGAGAATGCTCTGAAGAGGCCCACTGAACACCAGCAACTACTTGCTGCCGGCTGCAACTCATCCTGCTTTTGGGAGACTTTTCTCCTCTACCATTCTTCTTGGGGAAGCATATCCTCACCTTCAGACTAGCTGTACCTGCCACGGGCATCTGAATCTGCCACACAAACACTACACAAATGGCCCAAATGAGGTTTTCCTCATTCATTCAACAAAAGGCTTGTGTGAATTACATACATTGAGCACGTCTGAGCTTTAGCTGCCTCTCCCCTGGGCCTTCTGCTTGAAGCTATAAAAGGCAGAGTTAGCACAGGTCTCTTTCAGGTTCTTCCTGGTCTTTTCTGAAAGAACTAGCAGCATCCTCCTTCTGTGAGTAAATAACATTTCTTTATGAGAAAGGTAAGTGGCTTCCTCTACTATCTGCAGTTCTGATACAGTATTCATAATTTGTCTACAATATATCCAATGAAGATTTGTGAAGTTTATCTGAGACTATGGTTTTGGTTCACAGCCAAACAGAACCAGTGCTCTTTGCCACCCGTTCAGTGAATTCCTGTTCCAGAGGACAATAAGCAACCTCACGTATAGAGTAGATTTTGAGTGACTGCTGCATTTTTTTCATTCTCAAAATAAACTTGAAGAGATGTAAAAAAGTCAGCCAAAGGTTACGCTGGAACTGTTTGTTAGGTGAACCCCCAAGATCTCTGCATCCTGTTACTGCTAGAAAAATCCTCTTCCACTGGAAATGCATGAGCGGCCCCAGTTCCTCTTCCTCCAATTACCAATCCTCCTTTGTCCTGTGCTGGAGAGGTAGTCCACATTCAAGGGTGCATTTCCATATTGCAACTCCCAGTTCTCAGGACAAGTATGTGTACTTTGTTGTGTGAAGTTGCCACTTCATAGGGAATTATGTTTCCTCTGGGGGAGCTCAACAGCTTCAAGAGTGTTTACAAAATGTCTGGTGATCACTGCAGCACAAAGGGCAAATCAAATGTTCTATTTTGTTATCTCAAAGGCCGGCCCTTCTAATGTGCTTCTGCTCAACAAGTCACTGTGCACTGCCTGCTTTAGCTCTCTTACAGCTTTGGTGTGAGAGCACAAAAAGAAGTGCATTAACACCATCCCAAAACGAATCACATCAGATTCAGCAGAAAAAGCCGTTAGAGGTGAGCCTCTCTATGGTGCTAAGCTCCTACCTTGACAACTGCTAAACCCACAGCTCTGCACGTGTCTCATGCAGCCACGGAAGGAAGACTGACACAAATGCTAGTGTGCAATGCCAAGCATTTGGTAAGTGAAAGGTGTGATGGAACAGTAAGACCTAAACACATCAGTAAGTGGAAAATTGTTTGATTTGGGCAACATCTCTCAGACACAATCCTCTCACTTTCGTTAGCTTCCATGTAAACTCACAGGTTTTTTCCATTTGTACCATCAAAGCTCATTTGACAGGTCCATGCTGAAAGAATATTTTGAGAAATGTAAGGTATTTTACCCATTCTGCAGTGTCTGAGGTTTCTCTTTCCAAGTCCCTCCTTTTTGGGACACCAGTACAGCTTTATCAAATATGCTAAATACATTTTTAGCTATGTTTTATCTGAAGTATTAATCCACTTCTCCACATTTCTAGGAAAGCTGTATCACTGTTTGTTCAACATGAATTGCCAGCAAGTATTTACCTATCCCCTACTCAGTTGCGGCTTCAGCTGCTGAAGAAACAGGAAATCAGTAGCCCCTTCCCTCCTCTTTTTAAAATGAATGTAGAATCAAATTATTTTCAAAATCAGTTTAGCTGCAGGCACGGTGTGGATGTGAACACCCATACAGCCATGTAGGTGTTACTGCATTGTGTGTGACTCAAAGTATGTCTGATATTCCATGAACTGGAAAAGGATGCAGATCAACTCCCCTCCTTTGATCTAGTAAATTCACACCTAGCATAAGTACTCTCTTTTTTTCTTTTTTTGTCTGACACACGAGGAGGCCTGTACCTGGGCAGAATTGTACACATATAGAACACCTGAGAATATAAATAAAAATACACCATGTTAATAGAGAAGGACACGCTTTGAGAATCCAGGAAGAATGTAGTTCTCGCTCCCGAGAAGTCAGGCTGTTACAGCTGCTGAGACAAGTAATACACTGGGGGGAAGAAACCAAAGAAATATTTCACGTGCTAAAATGGATTCTACTGACACAGCACCAAAGGGAGTTGCTGTTATTACCTGAACAGTTTTTGGTTTTGAACAAATAGATACCCTCGGTCCTAAAGCTTGTCAGTAGCAACCCTTCACCAGGACAGGCTGTGTTCAGTGTTAGGAATGAGTTAATTCAAAAGAGGATCAGCCTTTGCTATAAAGCAGAATGTTGGCAATATGCACTGATAAAGGTGAAGCTGCTGCTCCCCTGTATTGAGACCTCCCAGTCTCGGGGCTCTGGTTTACGCGATGCCTTTCCTCCACAACAGACATGTTTAGCTAGAGGTTGGTAACCGAAATAGAACAGTACTCAGCTTCTTACCTTTTGTCTCTTTAAAATATCAATTAACTTTAACTGCTTTTTAAAACCTGTCATTAGCTCTCCTTTTTGTTTCTGTAGTTTCTTGTTTTCCATTTTTAATTCTTCAATTGTTTTGAGTTCTTGGTTAGCTGCATCCTACCATGGGAAGAAAACGAGAAATGTATTATTGATGAAAGTGGTGCTTTAACCAACAAAATTTGGCATTACATAACAAAATGACAAACAGTACCCACAAGTGACACTTCTGAAAAGAAATGGGATTAATCAAAATATTCCCACATCAAAACTCATGGTTTGCCATGTGTGCCTAACACATGTGTATGTATTCGGTCTGCATGTTTAACACAATTTAAATTTGGGACTGCCTGTAAGACACATCACACTTCCAAACTGATCAAGCCTTTTGTCTCATTCTAGCATTACTGAGTTTTCTGAAGCCACCTTACCTTGGTACTTTGCTTCAGTTTATTTAACTCCACTTTATGCCTTTCTGCTTCTTCCAGGGCCATGTTCAAGCGAACCTCTATTGCACTCTGACTGGCTGTGGCCTGCTTTTGTACACGCTTTAGATTCTCCAATTCCTATTTAAGAAGCAAAGGATAAAAACAAATATAGTGAATAATGTCCATATAGACAACAACACATTTACAGCAGGTCTTACCCTTGAAAACTCAAGAGTCTGTAGACTTCTTTGGCCTGCAGCTAAGATCTGCCTCAAAGACCATGAATTCCCCTGTTAAAACATCCCCTTCTCCTTTGAAATCTTGACAAGGGATCCTTCTCATCTTTGTTTTAAACTTCTCTTAGAATAATTGTGGATCTGATCATGTCAGACCACAGGATTGCCTGAAAATCCTCATATGCTCAGTCAGAAAAAGAGGAAAAAAAATGTCAGTATTTCCACTCTGTGGCAGAGTTTGGAAGGGTGTATTCCTGGCTGCTTCTTCCCACCTGTTCCCTATACCTCTTTTTCCCAGAGATTACTGCACGCAATTACCAACACGATGTTAAAACAGCCTACTGAACATGGCTGAGGGTAGTAACTATTTCATCTAGCAGAAAATAGCTCATCAAGTGTTTATGGCAACAATCAAACCAGCTCCCTCTTATCTCTGATGATAGTGATTCATAGTGCTGTGAGTGGGGAAAGGAGAAAAAAAGACCAAGATGAGGAACAGAATAATGAGATTAAAGATCAGGAAATATAAAGTAGAAGAAATAAACAATTCTGGCAGAAACAGCACATCTTGTCATTTGTGAGAACAAAACCGACTTTTTTTAAAAAGACTATCAAATTTTTAGGGCACAGAAAGATTCTTTTAACTAAATCAGGGTAGAAAAAGGGCTTACGGTCAACCTTTTACCCTCAGCCTGCCTTATTTCTGAGTAAGTGTTCTATTTTCTCAATTCCACACTAGCTCTCGTGGTGGTCACTTCTAATTTCCACATCATTTATCCAAGAAATACATACTAATTGACAAGTGTATGCAGCAGAGACATTATGGTGAAGTTATGTCTGGAACAGGTATTTCTGGGAAGCTTTGAATCTTCTCCAAAATGGAGGAGGAAAAGGAGAGTAAGATGCATCTCACTAATCCTCCAAAATTCTGTTGGTGAGAGTACCTCCTCCAAAAGTTCACAAAACCAGATGTTGCTTCAATGTTTTTGTTTTGTTGCTAACGTGTCCCTCTGATTGATTAAACAAAGATGGGTAAATGCCTGGCTGGTGGGGCAGCAGAGCCCCCCTGGCACACATGCACGTGCATCAGCAGGGAACACAAATTCGTTTGCTGGACGCTGCCCCCGTGTTTCCACAGAAAACAACCTGCACAACACACAGACCTCTTCGTCTTGATCAGGATGATGGGGCTGTGAATAGGGTCAGCTAAATTTTTCATGTTATGTATTTTATTTTGCATTAATATGAAAAGCTTTGGAATACAGCCTTTCAAGCATTTAATGACCAAAAAAAAGCTCTGCATGCAATGCAAATTACATATCAGCTAATGATATCGCTTAATGAAAGAATTCTAATATTCTTTTAGGGCTTTTTGACATCTAAGTTGTGCATAATACCTTAACAAGGGATGTTTTTCCAAGTCATCCAGTGAGGGTATATTGTTAAATATATTCAACTCCAAGTTTTCATGTTAAAAATGCCTGAAATAAGTATTTTATTTTGTAAGTAGGCAAGGTTTCTGCCAGTTCTTCAATATTTTAAGTAAAAGCTGGATTAATTTTCTCATATAATGTTTCTCTAAGAGGGGAAAAAATGTACTGTGTTATAAAACTGCATCCTGTTTTAATCTCTGGATTTTCTCCACTGTTCTGGCATGGCTAAGGCACTTGGGTATCAGTAGGGGGTGTGATAGCAGGGACCTCCTCTGTGAGTAACTCTCCCAGCAGGCTCGCCTCCCCCCCAGTAGCAGCCACACACACCCCCTCTAGAAAGCCCTTTAGAAAGCTCAGCAACACCTGTCCACCCCAAAAGCATTTGCGAGATGATGTTCACTTAACATCAAGCCCTTCTTCAAGGTAAATTAGAAAATCCCTGCACAAACCCTGAGAAGGAATAAGAGCACAACTTTGGTGTTTCCCTGACTTTTATCCAACATTACAGCTAAACTGATTTAACAAGTGAGAGAGAACATTTATCATTTATTAGATCAACTAGATGGAAAAAAAAGAGAAATGCTGGAAGTTGTGTTCCAGCAGAAATGCTCACAGAGACCAAACACCAAAAGAATGAAATGTAAAAATAACAAATTAATTACCATTTTTCAGGGAAGTTGTGAAAACCAGGGGAGAATCTTTGCCTAGGCACATACAAAAAAAAGTAGCTGGGGGATTAATGAAATTGCGTAAATTGTTGAAAATCTAAGGAATCTTGGGAAAGCATATATCAATCACAACTTAAATCTTCTATCACTTACGTTGCAACAGAAATCACAACAAAAGCAATAAAAGCCAAAAAAATCAGAGGTTACATTTGTGCTATCTCAACCATACAGAAAACTTTTTCTAGACTGAAAGTATTAAGTCTTGAGAGTTTGGTGTACAAATTCAGGCCTGTATTTATAGGAAATTTTTAAAAATTAATCTAGAATTAATCTACAACTATATTAATCATATAGTATTGAAGAATACTTCATACCTAAAGAATAGAACAGTTTGTAGACTGCTAAGTCCGTAAGAGATCTAAGCAATTACTGCAAAATTATTTTTAAATGCACAATTTTGGCAGTTAGGTAACTTTTTATATAGAACAAATATGTAAAATAACTTCTGAATTAAGAGAACCATTAATTACATTTACCTGCCTTTTTTCAGTATTGTAAAGAACTACCACTATCTGTCCTGATCACATCAAACCTTGAGAAATTCTATAAAACACAACCTATTGGGAATAATTCAAGCAGCTGAGGATGGTAGATCCAAAGCAAAGACAAGTGAGGCAAGTGACCATATTTCAGATATGGTAGCTGTAGAGCAGAAGTGAATAAACTTTTCATTACAACAGACATCTAAATACTGAGATAAAATTTCTAACTGTGACTGTGTACAAGAACCAGCACAGACCGTCTAAGGAAATTATGGAAATTGCCATCACGGAAGGCTTTAAGTACAGGTTAAACTTACGTCCAGGATGGTTTGGATATGATCTATCCTGTCTTGCTTTCAGAGAATGGACTAAATGACTTTGTAAGTCTTTGAGCCCTGTTCACTGGGAGTGAACGGGTAGTATGGGTACTGCTACTGAATATTTTTCCTGACAGAATGATCAATCAGGGTACATACTTAAGCAAACTTAAAATCTCCAAGTATGTGCACAAAAAGAACACACAAACTAAGAACATTATAATTTTAAAATGCCAGAGCTACATACCATTAAGCTGAAAGCATGCCTTTACAAACACATAGTATGATTTAATGAAAGTACAATGGGCTGAGTTGCATTCTGTTTTTCCCAAAACTTCAAGTGAAACATTCTCCTGGTTATATTACATGTACTACACAGTACTGTATGTATTACATGATTTTGAAGTCAACCCTTCTAGCTCTGAGTAATTAAAGAAAAACATATGCTGCTCTTAGATTAAGCTCCAAACAAACAAAGCTGTGTGTGCAGGCCATCTGCTACAACGAGGCACGTATACAATTTTGCGTATGCGGCTACAGCAGGAGCCACGTTGATTTTGATTCATCCAAATTGGAGTGGCTGGTTTTCAAACAGTCCATTTCCAAATACAAAGACACATACTTTCCTCTGCCTCCAGAACATATTCATATAAGCTGCAGGTTGCTTTTTTTACAAAATGTCCACCGGCTTCTATATTTTACAGTAAAACTCCTATAACCAGAAGTAATTTTTGACAATTCTAATTAAAACCAGAAAAATAAAATTTCCCTGTATTTTTCAAGATTCTTTCGTGAATTTGACAGCAGTTCCTGAAAAGGTTGTTTTGTGTCTTGCAGGTTTTTTACACAAGAGTTTAACTTTAAAATGCAGAAATATATGATCGTAGAACCAGAAGAAAATCCATTAGCAAAGTGTATTATTTCTGCCTTTAAAAAGGTTATTAGACCATTAAAAAATACAATTCCTCAAACTATTATCAGAGATTGGAATGCTAATGAGATCACTGCATAAGAATCTATCAAACTAAGGTACAAATGGTGACTTTTATGCACTTTTCCCCTTTTGTGAGATAAGTAAGACTAATACTTGCAATACCTTTTCTAGCGCCTTGACCTCGTGTTGTAACTCTTCACTTTTCTTGTTTGCTTCTTGTGACAACATTTTGTACTTTTCAGCCTGAGAACGTTGCATACCGATTGTTCGTTGCAGTCTGGCATTTTCTTCTTCCATATCTTTAAGCTGAGATTTTAAATTCTGATTTTCATCATCCTGTTTGAGAATAATTAGCAAAAAACCCCAGCTAAATTATTGCAAGGAAACAGTAGAATAATGTGATAGTAATGATTTGTAAGTAAAAGGCAGTAAAAATACAGATTATAGATATGGATATAATTTTTTTTTAAATTAAAAAACATTTCTAAACGTGGAGTTCCTTTGTGACGGATTTCACAACAATTTTAAGAAAGGAAACCACTAAGACAAACTAAGAAAACAAAACACCAATTTGCCAGGACAGTAAACCTTTTCTCATTTAATTTTCTGCAGTCTTTCACTTGTAACTGACTTGCAGCAGTATGTAAAACATTTAATTTCTCAAAGATATTTTGTGACATTTTTGTGAGAATAGCTAAATGCACACACATTAGGAAAAATTCTGGGAAAAAGAGGAGAATATAATTACTAGTAAATCAATCCATTATGTTTTAGGAGATTATCTGGTTTTGACTTAAAAGCAAGCTCTAATGATCTAGGATACATCAAGTATTCAAATTCAAGATTCTCTTAACATCAAGTGAATCCTGCATTAGCTTCATGACCTACTGGCAATTACAACTCACATTAAGCATTACAATTTCAAGTCATTTTTCTTCTATAACCTTTTAAACATTATGAGCGAATACTAATGTAGGTTATTTCAGATCCATTATGCTCTTCATTTCTTTAGGAAAAATAAATCAAGGCACATACAGAAATGAAGTTTCTATGAAAACAAGTCTTTCTCTCCTGTCCTCTCAGCCCCTAGGAATACATGTTTCTCACCTGGGAAATATATGTGCTTTACCCTAAGTTTCGAGTAACCACACGCACCTCAGAAACTCTCACTTCTTTATATTTAAAGCAGATTTACTGTTTCCTTATAATAATTGCACTGTGAATTGGAACAAAACCCAGAATCTATCTAAGGCTTTGCCAATATGAAATTTTTGTGACCTTCTGAATGTAATAAAGTTATTTTCACACCAGAGAAACTATTACCCAAAATGACACATTTACATACAGAGTGCTATGTCAAGCAGGACAAGAATAGGTACAAGGTTGTCTTTTGTTATCATCTATTCTAACTGAATTCTGTAGTATTTTTGGCATGGAATGATGAAGTTCAATAGCTACTGACAAAATTATATTTGATTTGAAAATGAAAATGTCTTTAAAATCTGTATGTAACAACTTTCTTCTGATCACAGCATAAAAGTATTGAGATGAAGAAGCACCTGTATTGATAAAAATGAAATAAAGCACAGATATGAAATATCAAAATCTAATTCCTTCTAGAGATTTTCTCCCAGTACCTATCTCAAAAAAACTTATTTAATATAATACTGCTCCTTAACTCTAAATTAAAAGCTTGAGAGAAAACATATAGGTTGTTTGCCATATGTTCTGAATGTCATAATCACATTTGGGCCTGGGGAATAGGTGGAAAAAAGCATTCTGAAGTTAAGAGACCACAACTAAGAATAATCTAATTGTGTAAAATTGAAAGTTTGTTCAAAAACCTGGCTTGATTACAAATGCATGAAAAAGAGGTGATCCCCCTGGCAGACAGACACAAACTATTTAAGGTTTTACGGTTCAAGAGATGTTTGAGCATCACCTGAAAACATATTGCAAGACAGCACAGATCATAAAATTCACTTGTAGTACACTCTAACAGCAAAATATCAGTGTAGCTTCACAAATGCCTTAACTGCAGTCTGATCTGCACAAACATGTAATTCCAAATACGGTCCTCCTCATCAAGTGTAATCTTGAGAATAATTTCCATTTTGATTACAATATTCCACCTAAAGTGGATCACACATCAGCTGTTTCCACACTTTTTTTCCACTAAGGATGCCCAAAGCACCTCACTAAATTTCTCAAGAGTTTTTACTTCTCATTCTGCCCGAAACATCCCACTCCTCCCATCACCCAGCTGTGGACACCACTCATCTTCACTTTGTACACCAAAATTTGTATCTGAGTGCTGCTGTATCTGCTTCCCTTTTCCCAGGCTCTGGTAACACTCTCCTTCCCAGCAGTGATGGCCAGGGCACTCTGCAGCACCACAGTGTCCTTGCAGCTGGGGCACACCTTCACTCCCAGAGTGGTTCTCTCTTGCCTCAAAGTCTTTTTCATTAAGTATATTTCGCAAGCTTTTAGCCCAAGATCACATTTATACAGAAATTACTATCCTTGACTCAAAATTCTTAGGAAATTTTTAAAATAGAACCTTAGCTCTTAATACTTGAAAAGGAAAGGTTGTGGGAATTCTGTTGTGATTATTTGTTAAAGGGGAAGCTACTCCATTTCTACAGGGAAGAAAACTCAGCTCTTACCTTTTTCCTGCATTCAGACACTACACTATCCAGCTCTTCCTGCGTAACACGTAACTTTGCCTTAAGAAATCTGATTTGAGCTTCTGTGAACATAAGAAGTTACATTTAATATCCACAAGTACTCACTACTTAATGCAGAAAAGAAGCAAGACTGATGTAAGAACTCATTTTCACCTTCTTGTTTTTAAAAACACACTACATTGTTTATAATTAGTAAAGAGAAATAGGCAAATGAAAACTCAGATTCCTAAATAAAAGTTGCAAGCTTCTCATTCTTAGGTAAAGCTTTGTATAGATTTTTCCTTTTAACCACTGAGCTCAACATCTTTAAAATATAAAAGACTCATAATTCTCAAAATTGAAACTTCTTGGATACTTTTGTAGGATATGTCTACATTGAAATAAATCTGTAGCTGCAATTTGTGTAGTTACACCCAAAGTAGTTTTAAACTGCTCACAACAAGGAATTAAATGTAGACTGCAAAACCCTCCTTATAGGTAAATAACTCTCCCACACAGTAGTCTATGCTTTTTTAAAGTACACTGTTAACATTATTAAATTAATAGTTTACAATAAAATTAATTTAATCAGATTTTTTTTGAAATGAAGTACTTTCTTGCTCTTGGACAGCTAAGAAATGTATTACTGTTATGAAAAAACAAGCTGTGTGTGAATAGTATGTTCTTTTGCTCCCTATTCCCCACCATTTCCCCAGATCATTCACAAGGAACTCGCCCTGAACTTCCACAGGCACAAAGCATGGAAACAATATAAGGATCACATTGAGAACGCAGAAAAAAACATTATTCACAGAGGTACAAGGGGAAAAGAATGAAGTGGAAGAGGATCATCTGGAGCTGAACGTGAAGGGATGGATGTGTACAAGTGTTCATTTGCTGTAATAAGAATTCTTTTAATTTCACCCATCTTCCCTTACCAACTGTCAACTGCAGCTTAAGTTGTAACTCTGCAGAGGCCAGTAGTAAGTAGAATTTAGGAAAACATCAGAAAAAAAAATATATATACATTTTTATGTCTTGTTACATCCTTCTGAGCTTCTGGTAACTAGTGGCTATCCCGAGATGGAGACCATATTGGAGCCATCAAGTTTAATACCCTTTCATGTACTTCTATACTATTAAGTTGGTTTATTTTCTTCATAAAACATGTTATAGTTTGGCATCCACAATATCCTGTTGCAATGAGCTGGCTAATTTAATTATGCATTATGTGAAAGAAACACTATACAAAGCTTGCTTTAAATCCAATTTAATGTCCCATTTACTAGTGTTTGCATTACAAAAATACAGCTTTCCCTTTACCATTACTGTTTTCATTATAGAATCTCTCATATTGCCTTCAATCGTCCTGTTTCCAAATTGAAGATTCAAATGCAAGTTGTTCCATGCTTCTAATTTCTACTATGTACTCTGTCCTGTATCCAAACCACAACACTTTCCTAGCTCTACATCCTGGTTTTGACATGGGGTGTGCAGAACTGTCTCATGCTCTGGGTGGGGCAGCATCGATGACATAATAGCATAATGATAACACTACACTACTTTGTTTTCTGTTATTTTCTGAAGGATTTCTAACAATCAGTTTGCCTTTCCCACTGTGAACTAGCAATAAGTTTATGCTTTTAGAGACATCTTAATTAGCAATAATTAAGCAAAGTCTAACTCAGAAATAGGAGGAATTGGTGATGCTTTTTCTATCAGTATTACTTTGTGCTCTTTAATGCTGAATATAAACCTCCATTCTGTTGCCTCACTCGGTTCTATGAGATTCTTCTATAACACTTCGATGTCAGTTTTAACTAAAATTATTGTTTCATATACAAATTTCTTTATGCGTTGTTGTTCCTTTTTTTCCAGATTATTTTTCTGTGACAGATCACTCTAGGACTATATCACTACCTGCAAAAACTGTTTGTTTCTTTTTAACATTTTGTTTCCTCTTTTACTCAGTTATTAGTCCATAGACAACTTCTCTTCTATCTTAGATAGTTCAGTGTCATTAACAGCACTTAGCAGTAAACCTTATGGAAAATCCAAGAGCACAACTAGAATTGGATCAGCCTTGGGAGGTGGCTGTGATCCAAAATTAGCTTGAGTTCTCACAACAGGTAAAGATAATTAAACAATTAACTTCCTAATTGGTCAATTTTAATCACTTCATGAGGCTGATAACAGGGAGGGGTATCACTTAATAGGATGGTCTTAAGTTATAAAGTAACTAACAGTTTAGGGAATGGTAAACAAGAAAAGGATGGCTGAGAGATTCTGATACCCTACGAGAAGAATAGGTGTCTTGAACTCCTGAGGTAATCTGAAGATAAACATGAACTGCAACAACACATTCAGGTATTTTGTTTGCTTGTGTGGGGGTATATTAGATAAAAATAGAGCTTCATTTTCAGCTTTCTATGTGTTTGTGTGTCTCTATTATTGCTTGTTACTGCAGAGGTGAGTTGTTAAGACACAAAAACAGCCCCTGAGAAAAATGATGTGTAAGCTACTGTGTTGGTAGAAAAATGGCTGCACTGTGATAACCTATGATCATGAAATAATGATACAGAGCTTAATTCCAGAAAGAGTGTTGCAAGAAGCTCAGGGAAAGCACAATGCTATGGAACCCCATCAGAACATTGGCCTAAAAAAGCACAGCACAGGCACACAAGCCTAAGGAATCCCTTACTGGGAGATTCCCACTAAGGGATCAGCCCACTCTGTGACGGGGCCTATTTAATATCCACGTCCACTTCCTTGTGGAAGCTGGAACTGTTTGGGGAGTTTGATGCTGCCAGCCTGCTCTGCAATTTAGCGTCTTAAGGAAGCATTCAAAGTATTCTAAGTAGTCAATATCAAATTTAAAAAGCAAAAATCAATCCAGAGTATTTTCATCATTAAAGTTACAGAAACAATTCTCAATACTCAAACAGATGCCCTTAGTCCACAAGACCTGATTACTAGACACCAGTAATAATTCTTCATGAGTTACCTTGAATTCATTTGATGTAAGCTTCCAGTGCAGTCCAAAGCAATTTTAGTTCAGGAACAAGAACTATAAAAAAGGTATCTGAAGATCTGTTTTGGGAGGCTTATTAACAGAAGACTTGCACAGAATTACATGAGGCTAGAAATCAAGGTATTTCTGTGTTGCCGTGCTTGTTGACATCAAGTTGTTAGATTAATAGAAGAGGTGTGGACATTTTGTAGTACTGCAATGAATCTCTGACTCTGTGCTTGCTTTAGCATTGTAAGAAACTACATAAATCCACATTTATCATACCAGAGCAAAAAAGACAGATGTGCATCATGCCTTTAGCTTCACCGGCAAATGTTGGCATCCCATTTTCTATTCTATTTCTAGGACAAACATAGACTGACCATTTGGAGTGGGAAAGTATCTGGAGGATTCTCATATGAGCACTGTAGCCAAAATGTGACTTGCATTTAAGCCAGTTACTAAGATCCACAGCATTGACCCAAGGAAAGGGGTTTTCCGCTAAAGGCAGAATCTATGCAAAGGGCTAAAGCGGATCTTTTTTGGAAATGGCAACTTAGCATCATGTATTTTTATTTACCCAGTGAAATGAATCAAATGTCATGCACATATTCAACATATGTAACCATCCAAATATCTTCCTACAAAGGTGGAAATCAAGGTAAAAATTCACTTTTTCCTACAACTAGTCATATGTGACCTGATCTTCCTGTAGGACTATCTAGAGAAGAAAATCCTTCTTTTCATTTTCCCTTTAAGGGCTTTAGAACTTTCCCTGTAACTTCTAGAGAAATTCTTATTTTTTCCCCCCAGGAGAACTAATTTCTAACAGTCAGAAAGTAATAAAATTACTTAGCCATGGGAGGAAACCTACCTGCTCCAATTTCATTTCCAATGCTTGGAATAATATCATCATCATGTAGACAACCTGGTAAGCCTCCTTTGTCTAGTTTTTCTTCAATTTTGCTTACAGTTTTGGTTAAAGAAAAATCTATGCTATCTTCCAGTACTGCAACATCATCAGCACCTTGTACTTCTGGGCTTCTTATTTTTGAACTTGAAAAAAAAAAAAGCAAACCCTAGATTTTAAATTTATAATACAAAAAAAACCCCAAAAACATAGCTATTTGCTATTTTTAAGAGTATACAGAGTTATTTACATAATGCAACTTCATTGCTCACATTTGTATGAAAGATACATTGATGGCAATTTCTTGTTTTCTTTTTGGAGGATGCCTTTACTGTGTTCTATATAAACAATTACAGGAGTTTTAGGTATTATAGATTAGGAGGTAGAGAAACAGTACCATTTTCTACTGAGAATATTTTGGCATGGTCTTCTCATCCAGCAACTTCATAACTAAACCAGAGTAAAACAAAGGAACACAGGAGTGTTCTTTTGGCTTTAGCTACTATCCTCTGCCTTAAATTCTGCTATTCCCTTCCATACCCTCCATTAACTTCTAGAACTCTGTTCTCTCTAGCTGTACTCCTACCTTGTGACCATGATTTCTCAATCTTTATGCCTGGCCTAGGAAATTTCATTGATCCTAGAAGTTGCACACCAAAGTTTTCATAAAACCAAAACACAAGGTATGGGGCACATGCCCTACATTGGGTGTCTCCTCAGCTTTTCTTTATAAAAAGACAAACTTAGTAGCTCAGATCCTGTGGGAACTAATGTCTTATTCCAATATATCTTCATCCCAATGCAGCCTCCAAACTCCTCCGAGCTGCTAACTTTCTCCCTCAATTTGGTTCACCCTCCAGGTCCTGTATCTGCACAACTGCACTTCTAAATCTCATGATGACAGCCTCCCCTGAACTGCCCAAGGGAGGCCTAAAGACTCCACAAGTGACTCCCAAGTCCTGAAAGACAACCTCAGCCTGTATCAATTCCGTGTTCTGCCATCTTGCAGACAATTTTCATCCTATTTTGGTATTTCTCCATATGTTGTGACAGTTTTGGTTTGCTCCCATTATTTTATATATTTCCCTAGTCTTTTCTTTTGTCCAGATCTCCATTTCTTCCTTTTACAACCTTGAATTCGCTATCCACAGAGCTGAAGCTTTTCAGATTGAAATGCCTGAAAGCTGTGGTACCGAGTCCTGTCTTGTGAATCCAAGATTCACCAAAACAGGGAAGACCCTCCAGGGCCTCATGTTTCCCATCACAAATCTGATCAGTCTGCACCACCCAAGTGTGCTCTCTCAGGTTCCCTCACATGATGTACTTCCCACATGTATGCTCATTAGCCATCCTTCCAATGGAGGAGTTAACAGAGTTTAACTGTCAGCCTTGAGAAGAGCTTGAGCAGGAAGCAATAGTTTCACTGTTGTAATATTAATCACACCTGTTCACTAGTCATTCTTGGTGCTTCATGCAAATGAACAGAGATAGCTACTTGGAGGACCAAGAGTTTGATACATCTATTTATATAAATATATATAAATGTAGAGGCACACATGAATAAAAACAACCTGACTGGCAGAAACAGCAAGTGAAATACTTTATTAGAAAGAAATGTGTGTAACATACCTTGAAATTGTCCTTTTTCCCTTACTTCCAGAGTATGGTCTGTTCTGAGCCGTGGGTGCGGAAGAACATTTCTTCTTGTTTGCTAGCTACAAATTTTTTCAGAAAGTACCAGGTTTGTGTGTGGGTTTTTTTCTTAAATTAGTTAGGAATTTCTTTTTTCTAGTGTTTTTTGGCTTTTCTAGGACTTTAGTTTTGGTGGGGTTTTTTTTCCTATATTCAGACTTAAAAAACATACTTTGAAAAGTATCCTTAAACTCTCAAAAGCAAAATTTTTCAGTTTTAGTTGAAGTCATCTTTATGTTGCAAATTTTATGTCTATATGCTCAATTTATAATACATCCAATACTCATTTGCTTGTGGGAGTTTTTGCATGCATACTTATAATAAATTCATGTATAAGCAATGTTCTCAGCTATTATCAAGATATTAACTACCAGACTGTCAACAGAGTGCATTTATTTGAAAAATGCCTAGCATACCTTCAAATCCAGGCTATTTTGATGCATTATTTTAATCTTAAATTCTCAATAGAATGAAGAATTAACAATACTTTTGTTACTTTTAAACCCAAATAAACATTATTCAAAAACTATTCTTCTACTGTATTCTGATAAATAACCAAAGACAGGATTTTGGAAGCTTTAGCTGACTTCCTAAAAGATTCAGCATAATTGTAACTATGGAGTAGTGAGTTTGTTCCTAATCTCAGTCTCCTTTTTCCATTATATTTCCCTTCCTGTATTCAGTTATTTTTGACTACTTGTTTATTATTACATCTAGAAGACAGCAGTACTGCCATTAGTATTATACTGGTGAGGGAGGAAACGGGAGAAAGGAAGAAATTAATTATGTTCTAATGTTTTGCACTTTGAGTTCTTAATTTGATGTTCAAAATACTGAACAATTGTGTCAGTGCTTTATAGACAAGGAAGCTTAGGACACAGAAACTAAACATGATGTAAGTCCACTGAACCACCAGTGGCACTGTCCCTGCTTTCAACACCACTTCCTTTTGGCTTCCTGCCCATTTAAGTTCCCAGTTGTAGCACAGCCTCAAAATCAGAAGTAATATGTGGAATTTATACTAGAAGACAAATTAACCGGGATAGTTTTGACTTTGATACCTTGGCATACGAGTGTGTAAGAGATGAAACTTCAGGGCAGAGTGGATCTCTGCAGAAAAAAAATAAAAAATAAAAATTCACAGAACATGTATAGCAAAATAAACATTTTACAATAAAAATCAAACTCCCTGTCAGAATCAGGAGAATGACATCTGATATGTCTAGAATAAACAACATAGCTAAGGTGGGAACATATACTAAGTTCAATCATAAATTCAGTCTCGTTCTCTGTCTTTCCATTCTACCCCACTTGCTATCTAAATCAACTGGGGTGTCTATGGTATCTAACACAACAGTTTACTTACATACCAGAATCTGAATCTCATCTCTTGGAATTCAGGTGATTGCTGCACCTACTCGCTTATTAGATGAATGATTCCCTGTACTTGTGTTATTGTACTGAAAGGCTACTTTTTAACTAACCTTTATCATTTTTTTATTTCAATTAAAATGCTGGCTTATAAAGGATTTGGAATAAAATTTAAATTTCAGGCAGAGCAAGTCACCTCAATTTTTTTGCCCAGCTAATTTGAGCAAATGTTTAGATCCTGCCTTTAAAAATTTCACAGACATCATTCATCAACAAGAATTATCTGCACAAAGCTCCAGATTTTATTAATCCAAAAAAACCCGTGGAGAAATCGTCTGTGTGTGGTTGGCAACAGACTTCAAGAATAGGATGATTAGGTTTTGTCTATTTACCCTATTTTCCTCATGCTCCCTTCCTATTGGCTAGCTTTAGAAGCACGCAGAAGGTGAGGATTTGCTGCCACAGAAATACCAGTTATGTTATTCTGAAAAATATGAAAATGCAACACTGTCTATACTCAAGAAAAAAATCATATTCTTGCCATCAATAGACTAACTTGTTCCTACAATATCTGTTTTCTCAGGCCCTTCTTTTTAAACAACCAACCAAAAAACCCCTAATTTTTCACTAAATTCCTCAAACTTGTTTAACCTTAATGATTTCTTTCCTCTTCCCCATACACGACAAGCCATTTTTAAAATGTCAGAATACAGTTCTGTAGTTGTTTGGCAAGTGAAATTAATGTGTAAATCCTGAAAAGGTATTCAAATAAGTAGCTAGAGGATTGTGGCAACACTGCAACAGAAGCTAATGTTTAACAATTCCATCTCTGCATGTAAACAGGGAATGCATGTGCATGAGCAAACCCTTTGTGTTTGCTAATCCTATTCAAAGCCTATAGCATGCTTGCCCATGCGCACAGGGTTCCCATCCCCATGAGCCTGGCAATGCTCTGAAGAGTGAGAGTGTAAACAAAAGCTGATTTCAATGTGGTGTCACTGCTGCTGCTTTGTATCTATGTAATTCAAGTTTCTCTGCAAAAATTATGCTATAAAAACTCCAGAGCAACTTATTTTAAAATACACACTGACTTGGAAAGTGACTTAAATATTTGGTGGTTTTGTTTTGGTTTTTTTTTTTTTTAACTTAGCTTACTCTTCTTTTTTTTTTTCCTCTTAACCTCTTTTTTTTTTTTTTCTTCCCCTAAAAGGAATCAATGGAACTTGTTTCAAAAATATCCGAAGTGCTTTCTTTAGATTTATGGCCTATCTGCTGGCACAATTTTGAAATAAAAAAAATTTAATTAAATATTAAATACTTGGAACTAATCTAATTGAATGGCCTCAATGTTCACTCATGGATAATTAGTGTGCCTAATTCCTAGCACACATTTCTATTTTTTTTTCAGTACAGCATAGGATTTCAATTTTTCTCTCACATAAATGTTTACCAGAAAACAGACTGCAGTTGTTTTAAGGTGTTTTAATTTATGTAGGTAATGGGTAGATCAGCTGCTACTCTGACATGCTAATTGCCAATATTTTGTTTTAATTCTTCCTGCACTCCCATTTATTTCAAATATAGACCATCAAAGCTGTTAACTCCTTTTGTGGGGTTGAATCCTCCAATCCCACTACTTCATAAAACAGCCCTGTAACTCAACTCCAGTTTGAAGTTCTTAAAAATCTTCTGTCTATTATTCAAAATCCATCTAACAACGTACAACTAAAGCAAGATCCAGAATTTTTTTGCAAGGCATGATTATGCTGATAACACATGGAGTTTCTTTTTTTAACCCCCCCCTCTACAACTGACAGATATGGCTTTAAAATAGCTCAAGAATAATTTTAACTGTAGTAGCAAACTTTTACTGGTATAGCCAGGCTTCTGTCACAGGCTTGTTGTCGCACCTTTCTGCATACTGAAAAACCCCCTTGTAGGTCCATAAAACCCCTCGCTTTTTGATTCCACTTTTACTCTGTACAAAAGTAATTATTTGATTACCTCTAGCAACCTTTCATACACACTATTTCAAAACAGTCTCCCAGCTGCAGCTTAACACTTGAAGCACCTTGTGCAGTCTGGCCCTGTGTCTTTGTTATCCAGATTAGCAGCACCATAAATTTAGGAACCTACCAGATCAGATCTTTGATGAACTGTGTTAGTCTATCTTAAATTCACCCACTTCCTGTACTATCAATATACAAACCCTTGAACAACTAATTAAATAATAATGCCCCTGAACAAGTGAGTAAATAGGGCTAGTTATCTGCTCTAGAGCGAAGGGGTTCAAACTCACAGCCCAAACCCCACGGCTGTGCCTGTGTTCACACAGGCCAAAGGTGCATGGGCCTCGGGGGTGCAGTGACACCCAAGTTCCAGAGGGTGGCAGCTGAACGTTTGTCTGCCTCAGGGGTTTGTGTTTGGGTTTGTTTTTTTTTTAATCAAGCACTTCCTGTCCCAGGAACATTTAGGCCAAGTTAAATGTGAACCAGTATTTATTTCTTCCCTTGCCAGCTGAACTGGTTAAAACCATCTACTGCTGAGTGTCTACTGTTTTGTACCACAAAGAAACCTGTCACCTTACCTCGCTTTTTTACAGATGCTAAGTCAGAGCTACTTAGCATCTTAAATAAAACATTTCAGCAAAATTAAGACTCCCTTGAAATAACAAGGAACACTCACTCAGTATCAATTATTTCAAATAACAGGAAAAAATGTAGACTTCATCAATCCAGTACGCTGTAAAGATAGATAAAATAGCAGCCTGACTAGGGTGCAAGTCAGGGTGTGCAGGATCAGTGTGAAAGATACCCCACAAATTATATGCAGTAGTTGTAAAGCACATACCTCTGTCTGTCATCTTCACATGACTTAGACTGTACTGAAACTGGTCTAGATAGCAGCTCCCGTTGGCCTTTCTTTATTTAAAAAAACAAACAAAAAAAAAGCCCAGTCAATTTTGGGGAAATATAATCCATTAAAGATGAATTACAAATGTAAATCACAGATCACAACAACTATAGTCTGCTATGAAAAATAATGGAAACTATAGTCTGCTGTGGAAAAGAACTTGTCAAACATGGGAAAAGGTGGCTAAATTAAATTAAAATGCCATTGCTATACCCCGGTGTTTATTTCTGCTCCACAACATGTTAACTGTCTTTTGCCTGTAAAACTTTTGCCCAGTTTAACATCATCGGAGACACTCTTATCCTACCTCCTTTTTCCCTGAAACGCAGGAGTAGCAAATGCATGGCAGGTGGAACAAATTCTCAATTTTCCATATTGCACAATAAGCCTTAAAATGAAATCTTTATTCATGCAATAAGACCATAGTTGCACACTGATGTGTTGTATGTACTTTAGAAAACAATTCAGTCAGAATGTTCAGATAGCTTCTATGTTGCTAAGTTACAGTTAGAAAGCATAATCCAGAACAAAATCCATTTGTCCTGTTTGGTGTTCTGTTTTTTTGTTGTGTTTTTGTGGTGGTTTTTTTTTAAACTTAGACTGGTTTTCATTTGTTGCTAAACGTATATCTGCACAATCTGGCAGTGCCATGTGGTATATTAAGTGTCTTAAGAATATTTGATCTTCTGCTGTATTTAGAGAAGGAAAAACAAAAAGTGGTTTTGTTGTTGCTGTTTTTTAAAGGAAAGAGACTAGATGCTATTTTGGACGCTTCATCTGTTTCTGTTCAAATGCCTAGCAGTTAGCCTCGGCTTATCACAGCTCAAGAGAAGAATATGTTTTCACAGGACATATAAATGGAAGTTTGAACAGCAGAAAAAGTGCATGCAAGTATAGCTTTCTGGAAGACTTAATATTTTGGTTTTTAAGCCTTATTTATTTGAATGAGTGCACTTAAAATGAATATATCTAATATGCAGAACACCTTCTCCAAACATTTTTGGGTATAAACCATACCTCCCCTATTGCCTTTTTTAAATTTATCCAATTTTCACATAAAATCTTGACTCTATCTGGTACGCAGCCACAGCAATGTTAAAAGATAATACTGACAATAAACAGGAATTTTTTCTGTTTTAAGAAAGCTTCCTTCTTACTAACTACATATTTTCTATTTATGTTGCTTATTCTTTGTATTTCTTTCATCTTGAGCAATGTAGATCCTATTTTACTAGGCTGTTATTGCAACAGTCCCAGGTTTTCAAATACTTTTTTTTTTTTTTAGTACTTAAGATGTAAAACCACCTACAAATACTTTTCTTAAACAATATAAACAATTTTTTATGCGGCTTTATCTGCACAAATGCTCTACACATCTATGTGAACATCTACTTACTTGATGAAATTATATAAAAACTATTTTTAGATGGTTTTAGTAGAAGTTACCAATTTTGAAAAAAAATAAATTAAAAGCTTAGATTGTATTTGAAACAAAAATACTTTTAGTTGTCACTGTCTAAATTTCTTTTGAAATGTGAGCCTGTGGACATGTGAATCAAGGCTAAATTACATAAGTCTGCGTAACCTACTCACCATTACTTCTTCTGCCTGACGCACCAGTTTTGCTGTTTTTGCTTCTAATTCTGCATTCAATCGCCTGAAAGAGTAAGAATGCTTGCCACTGAGCTTTTGAAAGATTTAAAAGAAATAAATGTAAGCATGACAGTATCTCTGCCTGAACTAAGTGAAATTTTAAGAATTCCTACACAGGAACACTGAAATATACTTCAGGGTGTTAACAAAGTTAGTTTTCAACAATTTCCTGGGCTTCTGTCAAATCAATAGTAATAAAACACCTATATCCATTAAGCAGTTAAGGTTTAGACTGTAATTCTGAGAGGTAAAAGGTGTCCTTGCTTTTGGCCATGTCATTGTTTAATATGCATTTTACATGTCTATTTCCTCAACACTTTGTTTTTACCACAGTCCTCACCTTAGGTATACTAAGCAGCAGGGGTTGGGGAAGGAGCCATGTATGATTACATTACTCGATCACAGAATTAAAATGTGTTGCTAAACATATGTAGAGGTTAAAATAAGCTTGTGTTCCTGCATGCTTCACTTCATAGTTTCTCATGTGGTGTGACAGAGTTTCTGAGACGTGGCTCCTCGAACATCCTTACCATCCACAGGTAACAGAGTGAGAGCTTTCAGACGTGCTTTCACTGCATTTCTCACAAGCTTAAGAGCTTTTAAGCTTTTTTTAACAGGCTTAACCACGCATATAACCATAATGTAAAAGTGAAGTCAGTGTTTTAAATGCAGGAAACTCCACCGTGCAGTGCAGTGGGGCCGAGGTGAGGCCTAGAGCAGCGCACAGCCCACCCCGGGGGCTGTACAACAGCCCACTGAACCTTCTTGCCGCCGCGGTTCAGCCGTTTAAAACATTGCTTTTGGGACCCTCATCCGTACGTTTTGGGGGAAGGAGTTGAAGAACCGAGATAGCGGGGTTTAACTGTAAACTCCGTGAGAAGAGCCCGCGGGACAGGGCTGAGGTGAGGGGCCCCGGCCGCCGCCCCCGGCCGCCTCCTTACTTGTACTCCGCCTCCTTGGCCAGCAAGTCGCCGCTCACCACGCCGGTCCCCGCGGCGGCGGGCGGCCGGGGGTGGCCGCCGGGCGCTCTCCGCACCTGTAGCGGGGAGGAGATAGTTTGCGGGGCGAGAACGGCGCGGCCACCCGCCGCCCCTTCCCGCTGCCGCTCCTGCTCGCCTTACCCCGGGCAGACCCTCTCCCCGCCGGACCCCGCCGCCCGCCGCCATTTTGTTGGCGCAGAGGCTGCTGCCTGGCGTCTCCTTCGCCGGGGCAACCGGCTGCCTCCGCCGCGGGAGTGGCGGCTCTGCCTCCCTCCCCTCCTCGGCCGAGGGACGGCCGCCGTCGCGGGTTGCTTTCTTCCCCGGCCAGGCCTCCTGGCGCCGCCGGGTAGGGAGGGCAGGGGCGGGGGCAGCCGCGTTTCAGCCCTCGGTGCCGGGGGGAGGGAAGCCGAAACGCTTCGTCCCCCCTTTGGCCGGCGCGGCTTGGTGCCACCGTGCCAGGAGCCCTGTGGCAGCCATTGCGGGCACGGGGGCAGGACCCCTGACCCGAGGGCAGAGGTCAGCAGGCTCCTGGCGCGGCGCTGGGCCGCCATGGGTTCCGGAGGGGGAAGCGGTAAGGTCGGAGGTGGCATCAGGGTTCTTATCGTAATATTTATTACAGCCCTTCTGTTTAAGCCTTTTGGCCTTGCTGCGGCTTGTCCCGCCGCCATCCCCGCACCTCAGCGGGTTGGGGTCCTGCGTTCACAGCCTTGAGGCAACTGTGCCACCCTATTTACTGCTCTTCGTGCTGTCCTCACTCTGCGTTTTCTGTGCCCGGTTTTCTGTGGTGGATGTCTGTTTTTAGCCTTGTCCTCTGCCACGTGTGCCGATTTTTTGCATTATTTCTGTCCCTCGCCCCCGCAGTTTTTGATTATTTTGCTGCGTTTCTCCTCCCCAGTCACCCACGAGCCGTCCTGCGCCCATATAGGTAACTGGGTATCTAGCAAGAATAATATAGTTCTCTACCCAGAGTTACATTTACTGTGTATGATTTCAATGAAGGGACTCACACACGGGAAATCAGAAGGGCTTAGCTGACTGGAAGTAGAAGGTCTGTGCAGAGTTGAAGAATTCCTGCAGAATTATTAGTTGCAAAACAGAAGAAATGCTTGGAGGAGATTAACTTCGAGCAATGACACATGCAGTGTAACGGGCTAAATGGGGGTGAAATAAAAGACGGGACAAATGTGATGAGTGGAAGGAAAAAAATAGAAATATCAACATAGAAAATGAAGTGCTTAACAGTAATGTTGGTACAAAGGTATTGACACAAGAAGGAAAAACAGCGAGCCTATGAAAAGTTATGGAGCTTTTGAAACAGTTGTCAGCCAAGAAGTCAGTCTGTTAGAATTATTAATTTAATTTTTTTTTACTACTGATAATAGCAAAAGGTTAATGGTGGCCTTTAAAAAAAAAAGATATGCAGAATTTAACTCCATTAGTATGCTTTTGATTTGGAGAAGCAAGAAAGGGCAAGGTCAAGAGTAGAACACAGACCTCCATAGGGAGAAAGACAGATTTTGTTAAGAAGTTGTAGATTCCATGAGAGATTAAGGCAACATAACCACACGAGGTTTTAGAAACCTCTCTATTGAGGTTCTGTGGGATTTTAAAAGAGACAGAGAGGCTAGGGAAGGGAAACAAAGTTGGTAGGATCAAAGCTATAAGGAGAAACATGCTCTTTCCAAACAGCACCAATTTTTATTCTTTTTTTTTTCCAAAAGAGAAGCACCATTTCTTTTTGCAGAACTAAAATATTGTCTTTGTAATATTCTTACTGTTTTTACAGTTCTCATCCAATATAGTGCTAAGATCATAACACCTTAAAAATGCCAAAAGTATTAGCTAGAGGATCTCTGCTAGTTAGATACTGAGGCAACAAAATTGCTGGTTGAGATTAGAGAGATTAGAGCCACTGGTTTTCCAGGCAGCTTTTAGCTAAGTCTTAATAAACAAAAGAGGGGTAATTTATTATATCATAAATGATTAAATATGTTAACAAACACAGCAACGCAAGGTTCTTTTTGTTTATAGTCCTCTGGGAATAATAACATACATAAAAGGATTGCAGATTTGCACGATTTTTCTAAGATCCACAACATGATTGATTTAATATGATTTATTTTATTGAAATACTGTATCAACTGGATTTAGAATTCAACTACCTATATTTGAAATAATATGAAGAGATTAGTATGTTTAGATAAGAATTTCTCCGTGAACTTTAAACTATTTCTCCAGTGATGTAGAAAACAGAAATAAGAGATTTTGTTATATTCTTGATCTCTTACTCCATCAAGGTTTTATCACTTTAAAGTTTACCTGATGTGACCTTGACAGTTGTGGTTAATTCTCTAATACATAGTTGGTAACTGGGTAGAGAATAGGCTTATATTAGAGACAACAACCAATAGCAAGACACATAAGGAGCTAGGAAAATTTATCTGAAAAAAAGAAAAAAAAAGGTAGCATTTGAAAGCATAGCATTGGTATGGTATAAGATTTAGCCACTCTCATTCTCCATTTAATAATTTTTTAAAAGTTGATTCAAACATCATGACGGTAAAAGCAAAATGTTTTTATCATTTTGAAACAAAGTGTGCATCAGATTAGATGCAGAATTCAAACAGATTGATGTCTGTGATCATAGTGAGCTGTACTTGGGACCTATTCCATGGGACTTCCATGATTAGAGTAGTACATCATCATTCTGTATTTTCCAAGTGTTTCAATTTTATTTTGGTTTTGGAGGATTATAAGATCTCAAAATTCAATGGTTCTAACAGAAATGTGTAGATTCCAAATTAAGTGGTTCACTGCATTGCCATTGTTGCTTTTCCAGTGAAGAAGGAGGTAGATCACAGAACAAAAGTGCTCAATTATTATAGCTGGTAGGAGTGGTTCGGGACAGAAGGGTGTGCATAGCTGGTGTGATGTTAGAATAGTTTATTGCAGAAGAGCACTGAGGGTGTTTACCTTTGATTAGACCAAAGAACATGCAATATTTAATTGACTCGTGTAACCCTTATTTGTTCTGCAGGCACAAATTTTGTGATCTCATAAAAGCATGAGATTTGTATATTAAGCTGTTATCTTTACACTTTTAGACACATTTTTTTTATTCCGAATATCTTCTTTGTGGCTTAAAGATTCATAATACAGAGTTTTCTGTGCTTCTCATAAAAGTAATGACATTTAGTAGAGACCTAGAGTACTATCAACAGCCCTGTAGGAAGGGACAGGATTTCAGTGTATATCATGTTACTTGTCAGAAACAGTGGCACAACAGTGGTTTAGGACAATATTTTCATCCATAAAAATTGTTGCAAATGTATCGAGCCAAAGAGACAACAGCTGATACCCTTGCTGAAGTTTATGTTCTTGGCCCATGCTAAACAAATAAATAGCATCATATATATGGAAACTGCTTACCATTTTTAGACCAAGGATCATGTTAAGGGTTATATGTTGTCTTTGGTATGTGGTAGAGCTAAATTCAATTAAACATAAATATTTGAGAGAGGCCTGTAGTAAAATATTACCTCTGCTGATTCCACTTCTAGAGGGACAAATCTTTTACAGGTCTTGCTGCTGCTTGCTGTACCCTCCACTCTAGGAAAGAGGGATGCTTCACTGAGGCAGTGTAACACAAAGTGTGTCATTCTCCCTTGTACACTCATTTATTTGATGAGGACAGTCTGTACCGCTTAGATTACCATGCTCTGGGTTAATTCACTGCACCACACTTACACTCTCAGGTCTGAACACTGATACTTTTCTCAGTCAAGACCCATGTTTTTTGGCAGGAGAATCCAAAGCAATCCAATCCACACTCAAAGAAGGTCTGTGTTACCACCAGGGCTGCCTCCGCTGCAGCAGTGTGCATATCTCTGCTGCCATATCTCTTGGTGCAGGTGACATAAGCTGCCGTTCCCACCATGGCTCTTATCAGGGTGCTTCATGGACAGGGCAGGCACAGGGAGCCTCCTGCAGAACAAAAACCACAGCCTACGCAGGCTGAACCCACTCCTAAGAAGTAAACCAGAGATAGGCTGGCTGCAGCACTCCCAGATGAAGGCAAAGAATTTAAAGCTAGCAGGCAGTTGTTTGTTTGTTTACTTATTTATTCTAAATGTACCAGAGAGGATGTCAAACATATCTAAAGCATATCACTGTAACCTAAGCAACTGTAACATTACAGCTTCTTCACACTTCAATAGTTTCCCTACCTTAAATTTCTGCTTTGTTTTTCCAGTTCCAGTTTCCTGGAGGGGAGAAAGGGAAGAGCAGAATTTTGGAATGAATTGTAAGTGAAATTTAATAATTAGCAGCTTTCTTGGAATTTTTTTTTTTAAGCTCTAAATACTCATTTATTTTTGACTTAAAAAGATACAATTGCTATTTCATATTCCTATTGTGTGGGGTGGAAGTAACAGCTAATCTTGAATTCACTTAAAAAGCAGACTAAAATACATAAATTTTGTGCAATAATAGGAAAAAAATAATGTAAACTCATGTACATCATTTTCAAACATTAGTGCAGTGGTAGGATCTAGACAATGTGTAGCTATTAAATCAATAATCCAGACATCAGGGGAATTCCCCAGACAGCTGTTGGATTTTTCCCCCTAATCAGTAATAATAATCCAGTGGTGTTTGAAATGGCATGATTGTATATTGGAATGTATTTTTTGTACTGATATTTTCTCATGTGTCTCTAATGGCTTCCTAAACTATAAAGAAGACCAAGTATTATTAATAGCCATGTATTTCTTATGAAAAAACTGTCAGCTCTTTGGATAGATGAAGGCTGCAAAAAGTCTGTAGACCTTAATGATAAATATCTTAAACTGGTTTACCATCAGTATAGCCTGATACCTTTTGTTTTCTGTCAGAATGACCCTGATGGATGTCAGTTGCTTGTGTCAAGTTTAGCGTGTGGAAGTCAGGGAGGTGTGTGGGAACTGAGCATACAGAATGGGGGACTGGGGGCTGGGCAAGCTGACCTAATAACTCTCTTCCACCTCCAGTGCCTCCAGTTGCTTTCATATGGATTTCCATGCAATGGAAATGTTTATTCTGTTTCTAGCAGCTGTGTAGACATGTGCAATACTTCGTTTCCAGGCTAGTCTAAGTTATTTTTTTATATAGCTATAGCCAGCATACTTGGAGTATCCAGATTGCTATTTAAAAATACAAACATTTTTCTTTGTTCTTCTCTGCTTCGCTGCACTATTGGGGCTTACTTATTTCAGTGTCATCCTTCCTAACCTAATCCAAACAATA